GCAATCACATTAGCTTCTTTGTATATGTGCTTAGTCTATACTTGCAAAGTGCCAAACAAACACCTAATTTTCTCCAAAACAGTTTGCAGTCTCCATGGAACCACTGCCTGACCCAACACCATCTGTACTAATGTTTGAGAATCAGATTCAATTAGAATCTGATACTCTGCCAATCCATACTGCAGAATCAAATTAAGACCATCCAACAAAGCCATGCATTCAACTTTCATATTAGACCCCCAATCTATAAAAACTAGCAGCAGCCAATACCATAGGCTCTTTCTGATTTCTCAACACTATTCCACCACCAAACAAACTAGTCCTCCCTTTGGAAGCACCATAAATATTCAATTTCATCATTCCCTTAGGAGGAGGCTCCCATTTAATCCATTTCACCCTCTTCTCCATGATAAACAATGATCCATTCCTCAAGTCAGTCAACAATTCCTTTCCCACACTATCATCTACTCTCTTAGGTTTTAGCAAAACAGCTTACAACCTCAAAGCACTGATCCCTTGCAAATAGATATGATATGAATTCAAAGAAACCCCTTCAAATCTCCTCCTACATCTTTCTCTCCATAATGCCCAAAAAATCAATAGGGACACTCCTCTAACCAGTCCATAACTTACAGACTGAGACTTGAAACAACTAATTAATCTCAAAAATCTGCACATAGGAGCTTCTCCAAATAACACCTCAAAACCCATAACTAAAATGTAAAACTGAAAAGAGAAATTTCATATGAAATTGGCATGCCTGTTGTAACTTTCATTGTTCAGATTTGCGATAAACATGCAATGAATACACAGATGAGCTCGCACTTGGAAGAAACCCCATTTTTGTACTAAGGCCACCATTGATGGTTGAACAGAGCAACCAAAAAGAAAAGAGAGAGAGAGAGAATATCAACGAGTATATATGCATAAATTAATACAAAAATTATTCCAAAAAATCAAATAATCAACAAAGAAAATAGAATTAGAGAGAGATGGGGAACTGACCATGAACAGAACAGGTTCAGGAGTCTTGGCCCTAACGATGACATTGACGGGTTCTCGATTTTGTGAGAGAGCATTTGTTTGTCGATTTTGTGATAGAGAGAGAGAGAGAGAGAGACGAAGGTGGGTCTAATGGGTATCTGATAGTGGAAACTGGAAAGATGACGGTGGTGGGCTACTGAGCCATGACAGAGATAGTAGGGAGTGTGGAGAGAGAAAAAGGTCGCAAGTAGTGCAAAGAGAAAGAAATAGAGAAACGAAGGAGGGTCTGATGGGTATCTGACGGTGGAAACGGGGAAGATGAAAAAATTTTGGCCCAAATATTAATCTTGTCTACTAAATGACATGACAGTTGATTAGAATCCTAGGTCATTTGGGCTATAATTTTGGCCAGCGTAGCATTACTGTTGTTTTAATTAGCCACCCTATGACTTTCTATGTTCTCTTCATCTTCTTTACAATTTTTTGTATATATATTGTCATTCGTAGAGATTCCACTCCTACCATTAATCACTCTCTACATACCTAAAACTTAATAACAATATCCACCACTTTCTCAAATTCATATTCACCCACTCCATCACCATGTTCCATTGTCTCACTATCTTACAGTAAGATGCTACAAAAAGGTGGGCTTCTCAACAATCTGAAGTTCATAGATTAAGCAACCCATGGGGCTTGGTCTAACTGCTATCGTCGAATATCCCTCTCACTCACCCCAACAACCATTATATTTACACTATTTTTCTCACTTAGCTTGTGCATGTAGTTGGAAGAAAATTGTATCAACATTTTTTATCCATTCATCCAAGCAATAAGATGTCAAAAAATTAACTTCATTGAATTGTAAAAATGAAGTTGATGAAGTTTATTATTTGGACTATGCAATATTTAAGATTGATATGAAGTTTCATTGAGGCGATTATTGTGTTTGTATATAATGAAAGGTTGTTTTCTATTGATTGATATGTTTTTGTTCCAAACTCCTCAATCGCCGAAGAGCAAATTCATCTTTCACATGAGGAGGTGTTTGATTTTCTGATTTTTAGAGTTGATAAGTATGATTCTTTTATTTTTTGAATTGAATTTATGATCCCCCTAGTAAAATAGAACTCATGACTTGTCATTGAAATTGAGAATCAAAATTTAGAATTTTAATTAACTTTGTCCCCAAAGTTCAATTCAAAGGCATAAACTCCAATTCAAAGGCATAAATGATTCACGATTTTTTATTGTTATCTATCTATTAATTCAGATATTTTTAGATACCACAACATAAAAATATATTTGGGTGTGACACCATAACATAAAAGCCAATAGTATTTAGTGGCCGCATAAGAGGACAACGAGAACATCATGCTCAAGAAGCCTTAATAATTTAAAATAAAATTAAAACAAAAATTACAATTTAAAATAATTCACGTGCAAAACACGTAGGCATTATCTATTATTTAATAGATGTTGATAATTGAAAAAAATTTCATCCACGCCCCCTATAATTAGGTTTAAATTCGATGACACCCACTTTCGATTCTGAAACTTCACTGTCACCCCTTGTCAGTGTTTGTTGGATTACGGCGTTAATAATAATTGTTAATTTACAAAAATACTCCTGAATATTTTATTGGATAAATTTTATCCACACCCCTTATAAATAGACCTATCTTTAACAATACCCCCTCCTAATTATGAAATTTCAATGCACTCCCTTTTAGTTATATTATATTAACTTTTAGATTTATCAATTTAATATTTTATTTTATCAAATTAATGTCCTTTATTTAATTTAAACTAAATTAACATTCCATCTCAACAAATCAACACAAATTGATATTACTTAAATATTTTATTTCATAAAATTAATATTATTTCTTTAATTTAACATTAAACTATAATTTAATTTCATCAAATTAACACCAAATTGACATTTAATTTTATTAAATTAAAATTTAATATATTAAATAGAATATTAAATTGTATTAATTTAACATTTAACTTTATCAAATTAATGTTAGTTATTTAATTCAACACCAAATGAACATTCAATTTCATTAAAGCAATATTTAAATTTATTCAATTAACATGAAATTTTATCAAATGAACACTGAATTAATATTTAATTTTATCAAATTAAAACCAAATAAATATTTAACTTTATCATATTAAGACCAAATTTATTTATTTAATATTAAATTTTATCAAATAATGCAAGGTAATGTGTGAAGAATGGTCAAGTAACGTCTTGGAGGACAGACAATAGCAGAGAAACTAGAAATGGATAGAATTTTGATATTGATTTTATCAATTGTAATTTTATTATAGAAAAATTATTTTTAACTATAAAATAAATTTAAAACCCTATAATTTATAACGAACAACAAAAAACATATCACAGAGGAAACTTAGGTAATATAAGAAAATAAGAAATTGAAAAGTGTACTTCTTACTAGGGTAGCCCAAGGTCAAGCGGGGCCCTAGGAAAAAATTTATATGATGCCCTATTAATATTTTGTCTATTGTTATATTTTATTTTTAATTATTATAATTTTTTTATGTTTTAAAAAAAATATTTTTATTTTTTAAAAAATTTTAAATATTGATCAAGTTTTTATACTCAGGTTTTGACAATAATTTTTTTAATAGATAATATTATTAATTTATTCACTCTTAGTTAATTGTAAATAAAATTTTATCGATTTAAATTTTCAACAAGTAATTTAATAATAGAATATGAGAGTAAAAAATAATTTTAACATAACAAAGAATCATTCTTTACCCATGAGTAATGTCCACACATGAAGTACAAAACTTTAATAACATAGACAATTTAAGTATAAATTATTTGGATTGAAAATTTATATTAAGACAAAAAAAAATCCAATTTTATAGATTTTCACCACAAGAAATAATGAATATAAATTTTCTATGTGAGTGAGTGAAATACAACTATGAACACATCTAAAATATTTAGAAAAATTTAAATTAAAGCTCACACGAAGGAGTAATTTTGGACCCAGAAAAATTAGATATTGATTTGAACTATTAAAATTTGAGCTCTAAAAATTTGAATCATATCTAAAATATAAAAAATAAAAATAAAAAGGGTTATTATACTAAAGTGGTAAATTTTATGGAGGCTCTAAAATTTGAGCTTAACCAAGTAGAAAGTAATTTTGTACCTAATAAAATAAGATACTGATTTTAATTAACAAAATTTGGGCCCTAAAAATTTTAATCATATCTAAAATATAAAATAAAACAGAAAAAATTAGACTTACTATACTAAAGAGATAAATATTGTGGGGGCCCTAGACAAGCAACTTAGTTGCCTAGGGGTTGGGTCGGCCCTACTTTTTACCCAACAATTTATAAGAAAATGGACTTAATAACTTAAAAGTCTAATGGGTGTTTTGGATGAAAAAAAATTAAAAAATTTGCATGAAAAAATTTAAAAATATATGCATGAAAAAAAATTGCATGAAATAATTTTTAAAAATTTGCATGAAAAATATTTACAAATCTGTAAGAAAAAAAATAATTTTTTTTTACCAACTTAGGTAGTAATCGATCATTGTGAAGAACGAGTTATAGAATTTTGGTTGGCTTCAATCCTCTATGTCTTCCAGCAACCCCATCGCTTTGGACCTTTACATAGAATAAAAGGTGTGGTATATATAATAAAAAAAGATTGAGGGAATTTCGGTGTATTTATAAAAATAATGGTAGTTTTGATATTTTCAAAAAATTTATACTCAAATCGTTATTGTTTTTACTTACAGAGTTAAAAATTATCGTTAAAGAGTTGTCTTTTATTTGGAAGTATAAATCAAAAGGGTGCAGTGGAGTCTTAGAATCGAGAGATAATGTTGTTGAATTTAACCCTAATTTGAAGGATTGCAGATGAAATTTTCCATTATAATTTTTTGGTTTATCCCAATTCCAAATTCTATCCATGTATCCTCCTAACCCAGCTCCACAGTGCGCATCACTCAACTCAACAGGCTCATCCTTCAAGACCAATCATCCTGGATTGACTCCCTCCCTCCCTCCCTTTCTCTCTCTCGCTCTCGTGGACGGTGTAACCTGGCTTGAATCATCTCTCTCTCTCTCAACAATGGAAGGGGCTCTTTTTCCCAACAGGCCACCATTCCCCACCCATCCAACAAAACCAACACAATCAAACCAAAGCGTGAAATTCCCAAAAACTCTACCCCTCCCTCCTCAACCCCCATCTCCTCCCTCATTCCCTCTGGATTCTCTCCTCCACCACCTCCACCACCTCTCCTCGCCAATTCTCTCCGCCACCACTCACGTGCCCAAACATATAAAATCAGCCAAAACCAGCAACCCCCATTTGGCTTCTCTTCACAGCTTTTCAGCAGAGCAAGAATCACAACAAACCCAACTCAACAAAGTTAATTTGGTTTCAATCTCAACACTTGAAACTAACAAAGTAGATGTTTTTCGATCAGCTGGTGAAAATGGGTCGCCTGGTTTTCTTCCCATGAATTGTAAGCTCATGATCAATTCAATTGTTGAACGACCTATATCTAGTTTGAATGCTTACTTTGATTCAATTAAGTTTGAGCTACGTCAAGTTGATTTGATCAGTTTGTTGAAAGGTTTAGATATTTATGGTAACTGGGAAAAAGCCCTTTTTCTGTTTGAATGGTTTGTCTTGGACTCCAATACCCAGAATGAAAAAATAGACGATCAAGTTATCGAATTAATGGTTAGATTTCTAGGAAGAGAGTCACAGTACTCTACTATGTCGAACCTGTTTGATGTAATTCCCATTGAGGACTACTTGCTTGATCTTAGAGCTTGTACAACTATTTTGCATGCATATTCTCGTACTGGGAAGTATGAGAGAGCAATCTCTCTGTTTGAACATATGAAGGAGAAGGGGCTTTCTCCGGATTTAGTCACTTATAATGTCATGTTAGATGTTTATGGGAAATTGGGCAGGTCTTGGAACAAAATTTTGGGCCTTTTGGATGAGATGAAGAGCAAAGGGCTTGAATTTGATGAGTTTACCTGCAGCACTGTGATATCTGCTTGTGGGAGAGAGGGTTTGTTAGAGGAAGCAAAAAAGTTCTTTGATGGGCTGAAAACACAGGGCTATGTAGCGGGAACGGTTACTTATAATGCTTTACTTCAAGTGTTTGGGAAGACCGGGATATACTCAGAGGCTTTATGTGTTCTGAAAGAAATGGAGGAAAACAATTGCCCACCTGACTCAGTTACTTATAATGAGCTTGTGGCAGCATATGTGAGAGCGGGATTCCATGAAGAAGGAGCTGCAGTTATAAACACAATGGCCCGTAAAGGTATCATGCCCAACGCTGTTACATATACTACTGTGATAGATGCCTATGGGAAAGCTGGAAAGGAAGACAAGGCTTTAAGTCTGTTCAAACAAATGAAGGAATTGGGTTGTGTCCCTAATGTGTGTACATATAATGCAATCCTTGGGATGCTAGGGAAGAAGTCTCGGTCAGTAGAGATGATGGAAATTCTTTGTGATATGAAGTTAAATGGATGTGCCCCAAATCGTATCACTTGGAACACAATGCTTGTCATGTGTGGCAATATAGGTATGCACAAATATGTGAACAGGGTTTTCCATGGGATGAAGAGTTGTGGTTTTGAGCCCGACAGAGATACATTTAATACTTTGATAAGCGTATACGGTAGGTGTGGATTAGGAATTGATGCGGCCAAAATACATGATGAGATGATTAAAGCAGGGTTCACTCCATGTGTTAGTACTTACAATGCACTTCTAAATGCTCTGGCTCGTCGAGGGGATTGGAAAGCAGCCGAATCAATCATTCTAAACATGAAGAGTAAGGGCTTCAAGCCCAGTGAAACCTCTTACTCATTGATGCTCCATTGTTATTCAAAAGGAGGAAACGTGAGGGGCATAGAGCGGATTGCAAAACAAATTTATGATGGTGACGTCTTTCCTAGTTGGATGCTTTTGAGAGCCCTTGTTCTTGCAAATTTCAAATGTAGATCACTAATGGGCATGGATAGAGCATTTCAGGAATTGCAAAAGAATGGGTACAAACCTGATTTGGTTCTATTCAATTCCATGCTCTCAATTTTTGCAAGGAACAAGATGTATGACCGTGCTCATGATATGATGCGCATGATTCGTGAGAGTGGATTGCAGCCAGATCTGGTCACCTACAATAGCTTGATGGACATGTACGCCAGAATGGGTGAGAGTTGGAAAGCAGAAGAAGTTCTCAAGAGACTGCAAAAAACCGGTGTGAAACCAGATCTTGTGTCATACAACACTGTCATCAAAGCCTTCTGCCGGCAAGGTCTGATGCAGGAGGCCAACAGAATTCTCTCAGAGATGACAACTAAAGGGATTCGACCATGCATTGTTACCTACAATACATTCGTGGCTGGCTACGCTGCAAAGGGATTGTTCCCAGAAGTAAAAGATGTGATCAGCTACATGATTCAGCACAACTGCATGCCTAATGAGTTAACCTACAAGACGGTTGTGGATGGTTATTGTAGAGCACGGTTGTACAAAGAAGCCTTAGATTTCGTGTCAGAAATTAGAGAAACGGACGAGTCCTTTGATGAGGGAGCTCTCCAAAGACTCGCAACTCGCATAAGTGAGAAAGTAGAGTCATGACTTCATGACTTACCTCTATTGGACTCATTTCTTTGTTGCTTGGCATTCTGGGGCTGATTTGTTATGACTTTTGCAATATACCTTTGGTGAGTCTACTCATTCAAATTCTTTAGATATGAATGCTGATATCACATAATTCTAGATGCGTTTGGCCACTTTGGAAATTTGATCCAGCTGAAATTGATTGGGAGGAAAACTGTGGATTCTGTAGACTAACATGACAGGGCTTAATGAAGTTGCATGACTTATTCTGAGATTCACCATTGAAAATTCCTTATCAAGGTTCTCTCTGAGGTACAAAGATTTTGTTACAAGGCTTGAGGGGGCTACCTTAGTAGAGGTTCTTTTGGGACAGGTGCATGCAGTGGGCAAAAATGAAGATTACACCATATCAGTAGTAAAGGCTGACTGGCCATATCAGTAGCAGCCTTTACCGTTGAAATCTTGGTGAATTCTACGTTTTACTCCTGGGAACTATGGATAGGCTGCGGTAAATATTCAGGGAGTTGAGCCATGTGTAACATGTTGAAAACTCATATCCAAGGGTAACTTTTTAAGTTGTATTTGTGTACTTTTTTTTTCCTCTGGAAATGCCCATCCATATAGGCTACTGGCTACAAAGGTTACGTGTTTCAGCTGGTTGATATACCTCATCTACTCCTTCAAAGGTTAGACCTTTTTTGAGGTGGTATGTGGATTTGGGTATGTTGGCGTTCTCGACTCTTCTACCTTCTATGAAGCTCTGTTGAACAATTTGTATTGATATTGGGTGAGTAGTTATATATGAATGAAGATTTTTTGTTTGTTAATTAAAAAAAAAACAAGGCTACAAAGGAGGATTTAAATCCCCGCAGTTTTGGAGTTTCCTCCTCTTATCCTTTTGTTTCTCTCTTTGCTGCATGAAAATCTTAAGCATTTGACAAAAAACCTTTCCTGCTAAATTTCTCCTTCCCAAAGCAAAATTTTCAGGCTTCTCTCGTAATCTCTTTGCTCTCCATGGTACCACAGGAGATTAAGGAATGTATTCCACGGTGGGCTAAAGTGAACCTATTAATATGGTCATGGCCTACTATAGAAAGACAAATTCTATCTGGACTTAAAATGTGCAATATTTCGGTGTAATCTATGAACTCTACTCACCCTCACCCCTCAACAATAAGCAACAATAAGAGTAGAGGAACAAATTATGTCAATATTTTAAGTTCTTTTTGGGTAATCCACGAGAAGGATACACTTACGTTTACTTGAATACTTGGGTATAATAGTTTTGCCAAGGTTTTGGATTGGTGCAGTTTTTATGTATTTTTAATTATGGACTAAAATTGAAATTTAGGATTAAAAAAAATAGAAAACGAACATGATTTGTAATAATTTATTTTTTGCATTTTGAAAAAATTTAAAAGTCGTTAATTGAATTAACTGGAAGTGTTTTTTTTTGTTAGAACATAAAGCATGGTAAAAACTTGATTTTTACTATATTTTTTATATGCGGCAATATGTTATTAGTACAACTCAATTAATGTACACTAATGCTTCGTTTGGTATGATGAAAAAATGGAAGGATGAAAAGTTGGAAGAATGGAAAGTTCGGGGGATAGATAAAACATTATGTTTGGTAAGGAAGGAAAGTAAGAAAGATGAAAAGTTGATAAAATAACTTTCCTTCTATAACTCACCAAAATCAATCTCTCCAAAATTAGAAGGAAAGTGGATAGAAAATTAATTATTTGTATTGAGATGTATCTTATTTGTCTATATATATTATGTATACATTAATTTAATATAAAAATATAATGATAAAATATGTATTTATATATATATATATATTAAATAAAAAATTAAATTAAAATTTAAAATTAATTTTTTTTTATCTTAACTAGGGGTGAAAATTTTTGACTCAACACGATGACACGACTCGAACTCGATATAAATTTTTTGACACAAACTTGATTATAACTCGACACGAATTTGATAATGACCTGACATGCGAACAAGAAATATAAAATATTCATAATTTTATGATTCAACACAAATCTGACACTACACGACTCAATTATCAACTCCAATCTTTGTCATCACAAAAAAAATTAAAAAAAAATTAATCATTTTTATTTTCCATCCATCCAATTATACACAAAGAAAAAAAAATATATCATTCTTATTTTTCATCCTTGAAGATTAAAAAATATATTTTTCTTATTTTTCATCACTCCTATTAAATTAAACGGAGTATAAACTTGAAAGTACTCAACACATGGAGACTCTAATAATCTATGCTATGAATATAGGAGGAAGCATTCTAGAAAGACTTGGAGATAAATATATACTACGATAAGTAATCTATAATATAAGTAGAGGAGGAAAAAAAGTGGGAGAGAGATGGACATAGATGGCAAAAGGAATACCGAGAGAAAAAAAAATATGGGATACGATCTTTTGAAGATATTTTAGGTTCGACCTCTTTTAATATTTTGAATTTAGAGAAAAATTAATAATTTGCAAATATAACTCAATTCGGAGTAGAGTATAAACCAAAAGATCAACGAGGCCTATTCAAGAATAAGAAAATTATATCGTGATTTGACCCAATTCGGAGTAGAGTATAAACCAAAAGATTAACGAGGCCCATTCAAGAATAAGAAAATTGTATCGTGATTTGAATTGGATCTCGATGAAACAATGCATCAACGAGAAGTTAATTCATAAGTTTAATAATTTTTTATATTATTATAAAGAAAGGGATCAAAACTGGTCTTTACCAAATAACCCGGAAAAACCAAATAACCCGCAAATACAACCCAACACACACACTGGATCGGTCTCTTGCTAATTAGCCAAATTTCGCCAACCACTCATTTTCCTCTCACACACAGTCTCCCCTCCCCCATCTCACATGCCCAACACAACCCATACCCCAAAACGCCCTGAATCTCTCTCTCTCTCTCTCTCTCTCATATCAGAAGTCGGTTTTTCTCCGCCAAGACATCTCAAGCCTTCTTTCCAAATTAGTAGGCGAAAGAGAAAGAAAAAAGAGTAATACCCACGAAGCTTTCAAGAACTCTCTTCAGGTGATGGGTTGAAGAGAGATAAAGAGAGAGAGAGTTCCAAAGGGAGCACATGGAGTGGGATAGCAATTCTGATCTTAGTGGAGACGACGAAGGGTTCCTATTGAGCGATGGTGGGCCCTTCCCGTTCCCCATCGACACTTTACTACAACCGGCGCCGTGTGGGTTCGTCGTCACCGACGCTATGGAGCCCGACCACCCAATTATTTACGTCAATTCGGTGTTCGAGATGGTCACTGGCTATAGGGCCGAAGAGGTCCTCGGGCGTAACTGGTGAGTACTTTTTACATATGAACACTTGATTCTACATGTTGGGTGAAGACTTTTTACTTTTTATCATTAGGTACTTATTAGAATATTCACAGTTTGTGGGGTTGGAGATAGTTTTTTTTGTTGTACTTTGGTCAGTTGCGGGGGAAGATTTGGTGGGTTTTTGTTAATTTCTTGTTGTAAATGATTTCTAGGTTAGAATAATTGATTAATTTTTGACTTTCTTGCAATTATGATGTGTAATATTTTGGTGTAATCTATGAACTAACTCCTCTCACCCTCACCCCTCAACAATAAGCAACAATAAGAGTAGTTAAGTTACCTTGTATATGGGCTGTAACATGCTTAGGAACCTTTTTTCCCCTGAAATAGGAGACCAATAAAAACAGTGGCTGTAGAGAATAAAACATTTTGAACAATTGTGTAGCTGATTTTTTTATTTTTTTTGGGTGTTAGCTGAGAGGTACTTGGGTACTCGGCCCTTTAGATTACTGACTAATCCTCCAAAAGAGAATAAAGGAGAAAAAAAGAAAAGCTATCCCACATGCGTTACCTAGAAAAGGCCAGCCGCTTCAAATTGGACTCAGAATGTGAACATTACTCGACATTATTATTGTTGTTTCTGAGGCCTTGCTTTGCAGCTTAGGTTTTTTGTGAAATTTCCTTTCACTATGGATATCCTGTGCTAAGAAGTTGTATTTGATGGTAGAGTCTGAGGGTGAACGTGAACCATTAAGTACAAATTCGATGTAGCCTGTGTAACCAGTATGTACATAGCTTCAAAAATGTTGGCTTATAGGCAAGAAACTTTATTGCAGGTTCTTTGGGAAATGGACATAGAAATATATACCCTTTCAGGATTAGAATACTTGTATTCTTCATTATTATCTAAAATAATAAAACGGTAATCAGATGAGAGAATTAATTATAGGTTTATGGGTAAATTTAATATCAACTAATTTCAAACATGAGTAATGGGATGACTGTGGTTAAACACAAAACTTAGAAAAGTGAAGAGAAAAGAGTAGCATTTATGAAGTACTGAGGTCTAGAGATATGGTTACGTCATTGGTTAGTGTGTTTGAGGTGTAATGAGGTGCCAAAGGTCTCTTGGGTCTAAGCTAGAGTTGGTAGGCAAACTGGAGGCTTCATTGCAGCAATGTGAACATTGCAAATAACTCCGTGTTCATAAATTAAAAAAAATCCTAACTAGTTACTCAAATGCTTTGCATTAGAGATTTTGCAAACAATATGAATAAGTTTGACAATTAAGTTAAAGTGCAGAGATACAAATGTAACAAATTGTTACTTGAGAAAAGCAAAAGGCAATATGGCCTATTACAGGAGTACAAAAAAATAAACAAAAAGCAGAAATAGATAAGCTATTGGCCTAAAAAATAAAAACAAAGTAGAAAAAAAGGCTAATAAAAAATGATCGGTGGAATGATTGTAAGAAAAAAGTCTGTCTTGATTGTGTGGTGGAAATTTGGTGTGACATAAGAGATTGCATGCAGCAGTCCCCAAAAAAGTGGTAATTATTGAAAGGAATATGAAAACAGAGGACGCAACAAACCGAAAACGCCAAAATGAAACAGGACAAGCTAGAGTCTTTTTGATGGAACACAAGAAGAAGAAGAGCGATGACAAACATATCTCGCAGTCTGTGATAGCTGAAGAAGGAGAAGAGATAGTCACCAAAAAGAAAGACAACAGTAAATTTTGCCAGAGGACCAAGTGAAGCAACACAAGCTTGCAGCCCGGACCAGCCCTTAAGTAAGTCACATATAGAGATTTAGGCAAAATAAAGTTAAGGATAAGTAACTTGAACATAGCCCCAAATGTAACTAGACAGTGGAATAAAATTGAGCATCTCAATGCCTTGAGCTTAAGCATGAGGCGTGACTTAAACACATGTTAGCGAAGACTCCCGGCCTGAGGCTAGTTGAGGAGCAAGGTACAACAGTTATTCATGTTGTACAAAAATATCATTAACAATATTAGATTGCTATTTTCTTAGTTGCGTGGAGTCTTACACCTTGAATTTCACTTCACAATGGAATCCTGAGAACTTGGCAGGCATGTAGTTGAAATCCAATGGTGAATAACACCTTGCACACTAAAAAATTATCAAATTCTCAATTTACGCCCTGAAAGATTAAAATTATCACATTGCACCTTCAATTAAATAAAAAAGTAGGAATGGAAGTCCCAAATTAATTGTATATTGCCTTTTTCGATAAATATTTTTGTTATATATGTCATGTTATCCTATTTTTGTACGCAATTATTTACATATTACGTAATTTTAAGTGTTTTTAATGAAAATTTTGTATTCAATTTTCTTAAATGAGCAAATACTACTTTTTTGTTAAATTGATGGTATAATATGAAAATTTCAATCTCTCGGGGTGTAAATTGAGAATGATCTTTTGGGGTGCAAAGTTTTTTTTCCACAAAATATAAGATATAGACTTACATGAATGTTTGGTGAGAGTTTAATTTTCCACCACTTGTTTGCTTCGATCTCTACCAAAACGTTGAAGTTTCGGTCAAAATAATCGAAGTGAAACGAAATGAAAATTTGATCCTTGAGACAATCTTCACTGAAAAAGTCTTTCCATTTGTAAGATTTAGCTGGTGAAATGCTCTTATTTACTTGCGTAATTGTGAATACTTGAAAGGTGCATTTTTGGATGAGCTATGCAACCTAGAAAACTTGTGGACACACTTATGTTTTGCCCATCATATCTATTCTCTCCCGGATAACATATCCTTGATGATGACTATGGTTTTGAATATGAACTAGAATCCAAGAACTTGTAAATCAACATGGCTTTGTAGTTTTATGTTTTTGAGCAATTACCTATGCACACATGCATAGTTCACCTTGCTAGTCTCTTTCCTCTCAGTGGTTTCTAATGTATTGCGTCCATTCGTAGATGTGGTTGGTTATTTCTATAGATAGTAGGGCGCATCAAGATAGAAAAGAGGCTTAGGGATGTCAATTTGACTTGGAAATTAGATAAGGCAATGAAATCAGTAAGCATATTGAGTGTATTAGGTTATAATTAAGAATAACATTACAGAACGTAAAAATGTATGGAACTCCAAGAGGAGTTACTGAGTTCTAGCCCAAGATGGTAGGTGTGTTGCAAGATTTCCAAAAAAAACCTTTTAAGTGTTTATCTTCTAGTTCTCGATCTTGTTCTTCTAATGTTTAGCTAGTTGAGATTGGGTATTGTGCTATAGCTGTAACCAAAACCTCGTCAAAATTTGTCGAAACTAAGAGCATTAGGATACTTGAGATCTACAAGGAATTATATGATTATATCTATATAATAAAATAGCTAGATTGTTTGTCTTGGGCTTTTCGCGGCTCAGATCGTTTGAAGATTATTGATCTGACGATCCTAATTTGACTTTCATTTCTTTTACAACTCTAAAATTCTCATATTTCATATAGCTCTCCCTTTCTCAGACACCTAACTCTTTCTTTCTCTATCTCATATCTCTTTTAAATACACACACTATATATATATATCCTATCTCTTAGACGTTTTAAACACACTCTCAAACACACACTCTCTCATCTCTTATATACCCCTCTTTCTCTCTCTCTCACAGACACACTATCTCATTCATTCACTTTTGTGAGTGAATGTTATGTGTATTATGTGTATTGTCATGCTTCTTTACTCAAAATTTGCATCATTGACATGATTTTATTATTGTTAAATGTGCTTTGAAAGCTGCAAATTTGATCATGCCAAAGCCCTTACAAGACAAGTAAAATATGTAATGTTGTTTTGAGGATTTTTTTTATACAGTTTTGTGATAGTTTTATTAATATGGAGGATATGATCGACAATATATTTTGAGTTATTTTAAAAGAATTTGTATGAATATTTTCGGACAATTTTCTTTTTCAAGTTGGGCAATTACTTGCAATTTTTTATGTATTATATAGTGACTTCAGGTACGGGCAATGATTAGTGATTTTATATAGTGACAACCTTTAGAATCAATCAAGGTTTCCTAGCTATTCTTTTATATATATATATATATATATATAGAGAGAGAGAGAGAGAGAGAGAGAGAGAGAGAGCGAGACCCACGGAGCTACCTTTCAAATTGAGGAAAAAATTGTTCTCGAGAAAGCATGATCATCCAACTGAATATTGATACCCAATCATGTGGTTATGGGGCCAAGCCTACTTTCTAATTTGTTACTATGGATTGATTATGTCCTCCATCAATCGGTGCATGGGAGCTTGTTGTTTAGACCAGCTATCGGCTTTGGACACATTTAGTACACGGGCACGTGTCAAACACGTTAAAATGAGTTTTGATATTGTATATGGATTTTTTCCCTGGACATATTTTGGACATGAGGGGACACATGGCCAAGATATTGGGGACACGTGCCCTATAAATACGAGACAACAAAGGGAACATTTTGTTATTTATTTTTTGATTTTTGAATTTCTAAAACTTGTCAAGTAACTTGATAAATAATGAAAGCACTTTTATCTACACGAACATGACACATGGATACATTCACAGTTTTACACATTTATGAAATAGGGGCTACGAAAATACAATCAGGATTCCCCATTTATATGCTGATGCTTTGATAGGAGTTAGGGTTGCTTAGAGCCCTTTGAAATCAAGGTTTTTAAAATCTGGATCCTACCTTGGATCGGTGGGGGCGATTGTAAGATTGGAATCGAGAATCGTAGGATCCTACTTATTAAAGAAAATAGAGAAAAAATGCATTCAACAATGGAGATTTCAATCAACCAAACCTTGCATTCTCATTTGAATTTTGCTTGTAATATCTACATCTATACCAACCAAACGTAACAAAATAATCGACTTATAGATAAAAAAACACAAAAGTAGTCAAGTTGCAATTAAAGAGCAGTTACTACTCCCAAGTAGCATGAAGTAACAAAAAAAAAAAAAATTCTATAACAGCCTAAACAAAATAGCATCATTGGCGCCTTAATTATTTTATTCTACTAAACATGGGCTGGTTTTTGTTTAATCCATAGATCACTGGGCTGTCTCCAAAGGAAAAATGGAAAAGCCCAAGTCAGCCCACTGTCACAATAGGCCAAAAAGTAGGATCGCACAAATCATTGTTGGATTGGGATCCTACGATTCTAAACAATCCGGATCTCGATCCACTTCGATCCTACTGGTTTGAAACTTTTTATACGATCTGGATCGATTTAATAATTTTAGATCATGGGATCGTATGAGTAGGATCACGATTTTAATAACCTTGTTTGAAATTGAATGAAAATTAAGTTTATGAAGTGGTGTCTTCTGGAAATTGAAATTTTAGTAATTATTTAAGGTTGCTTTATGGATGTTTATGATGAATTTATATTCGTACCTCTAACACTTGATTTTCGATCTTATAACAATTGTTTAAATTGTGGAAAGGTTGAGTAATTACTATTGAGACTTATTTTGTTTTTTTCTCTTCCTCTTTTTTTTTGGAACTAGGGGCAATGATACATTGTGTGGGTGTGGATATTGGTGAAGACATTTTGATTTTTGTGTGCGGGGTTTGGGATGATTGAAGGAAACATGGAATAACAATGGGTCTCCTTGCCTTAGCATGTTTTCAAGTTGTTGCTCCATTTAAGAGTAAAACACAAGACTACTAGTCCCTGGAGAAGGTTTTTCTCTGACAATACGTTGAGGACAAGAATCATGAACGATTCTTGCCATGTATTCTTTGTATCCTTTTTCCCCGAATGTTGATGAGAGACCTGTATTCCTTAAGCGTTGATCACAAGCTCAAGTGTTGATCACAAATGTGATCGGGAGAACAAGAGAATCAAACCCTGTGAGAAATATGAGTAGATTGACATTGACTGGATGAAACTAGTACCTTTTTTCTCTGTGATTTAGGGCTTCCTGATGCAAACATTATAGCAATTGAATTTTGGTTGATGAGAAGGCTGACTGGGTATTTTAAACTATTAGTAGATTTAGGTTTACAATTCTATTTCCTGTGGAATCGAGGAACATATGGGAAGTGTATGTGCTTTGGCATCTAGAACGGGAGTAGAACGGGAGTTGTTTCAGAAGAGGTATGAAGGGGTCTTCTGCTTTTCAATTGTTTCATTTTTTTGGGGCTATTTTGTAGAAAATGATTGCAAACCTTTTTGCCTAACCAAAGGCAGTGAGGAAAAAGGTCTTCTCTGTTTACCCTCAGCTGTCTAAATTCCCCTGGATATTGCAAAGTATTGTAGGAAATGGCATTTAGTATAAATTATGTGTTTTGATAATCCAAAAAAACACGTTGTGTTTTGGCTGATGGTTGATATAGACCATGTCTACTGGTGCCCCTTTTTGTTTGCTTTAGATGGCTATAACATACAGATACAAAAGAACATGCTTAAAGTTATTTTTTAAGGTTCAATATGACGTATAAATTGTTATAAGGGATAAAATAAAAAAAGGGTTGCCCATTGCAGGAGGCTCCCACCACTCGGGGGTCTGGGAGGATATTAGCTTGCTTGTTTTTGTTATTCATAAAACTGTAGGCTTTATTTTTAATTTTTGGTGCATTAGGGATAAAATTGCAGTATTGCAACAGTGGGAGATGATATGGTTTGATATATTAAACTACCCATCTGCTAACAATTCCTCTAGTTGGCACAAAAAAATTTCTTCCCAGTGGCAAATTTTGATACATCATAAAAGTGATGTCAATCTGCAAGGTTGCAACTGCTTACAAGTCAATGGTGCACATTGTTAGCTTTAGAACCTTTTGGGCTGTCTTCAGTTACTTTTTTTTTTAATATGCAACAGTGATTTACAATACCTGGAAGAGGGAGGGGAGCCGGGGAGGGGGTTCGAAACCACAACCTGTCACTGCCTTAAGCATGACCTTTGCCACCTGGGTAGATCTGCAGGTCTAGTTGCTTTGTTTTTGTTGCTTTTACATTATGGTTGGTATCTGGATTCATGCCATACATGTGCTTTGTGTTTCATGATGGTCTAGAAGTTTCGGTCTCCTTAGACTTGGTGGTCTCCATGTAATAAAAAGAATTATTTTAAGTTTTGCTTAAGTTTCTTGTATGCACAAGCAGCAAAGTTGGGCTATTGTCCTTAATAAGCACATAATTTATTAAATGGAGTTTGAAAATCTTGAATACATTAATTTCATTTTTAGTGCAGCTCAGAATTGGGGGGACCCACATGTTTGGAGTAGTAATAACTAATATGCCCTTAGCAGATGGCTACTTGCTTTGTGCATATAATCCATTGTAGTGTATCCTTCATAATTTTGTGTGCCTACAGTTAAAATTCTGGGAGACATATACCAGAATTATGCGACTTAACATAGAATTTTCAATATCACTCACAGAAGATCAGTTCTCCCCACTTCCTGAGCTCCCCAGTGTTTGATGCTAGTGTTAGAGGGTGGATTCTGATTAGCAGTGTAGGTGGCTTGGGTTTGCCTATTTTCGGTTTCAAACATTATATCATTAGTTTTCATATGGTTGAATGTATTTGTCGGTTTACCCTCTCAGTTACCATTTGGTTGATTTGAAGATTAATGTTGAGCCTATGAAAGTGGTAAATATGATCTAATCTTGCTGCCTTTGGCCTAGTGATACCAGTGTATGTTTAAATATTTGCATATGTGTATGTTGCTCTACAGTCCACACATTCATGGATATGTAGAGTTTGTTTTATTTTAGATATTCCTTTATGTTGCTTGACTTCGCTATCAAAATGACACTGAAAGGATTAAATGTGCGCATGCCGTGCAGTTTTTAGGATCAATGCGTACTGTACCATCTTTGATTAAGGTACGGTTTGCTGAAAGTAGTTTTTTTGTTCCTAATTGTGTGGGATTTTGTGGCAGTCGTTTCTTACAATGCAGAGGACCATATGCAAAAAGAAGGCATCCACTGGTGGATTCAACATTAGTATCAGAAATGAGAAGATGCATTGATGCTGGGGTTGAATTTCAAGGAGAATTGTTAAATTTCAGGAAGGATGGATCCCCATTGATGAATAGGTTACGCTTGACACCTATATATGGGGATGAGGAGATGATAACTCATATAATAGGAATTCAGTTCTTCACAGAAGCAAATCTTGATCTGGGTCCACTTCCGGGATCTTCAGCAAAGGAGTCTGCAAGATCATCTGATCGGTTTCGCTCCAGTCTTTCTTTCTGCGGAGTAGCTCCAGATGGAAGCCGGAATAGCAGTCGTGGGTTTGGTGGGATACTTCAGTTGAGCGATGAAGTCATGTCTCTCAAGATTCTTTCACGATTAACCCCGAGAGATATTGCATCAATTGGTTCTGTCTGCAGGCGATTCTATGAGATGACAAAAAATGAAGATCTTTGGAGAATGGTCTGCCAAAATGCATGGGGTAGTGAAACAACTCGGGTATTAGAGACGGTGCCTGGGGCTAAGAGACTGGGATGGGGTAGATTGGCAAGAGAACTGACCACTCTTGAAGCAGCGGCATGGAGGAAGCTAACCGTTGGAGGTGCTGTTGAACCCTCTCGTTGCAACTTCAGCGCATGTGCAGTTGGGAATCGGGTGGTTCTGTTTGGAGGGGAGGGGGTCAACATGCAACCAATGAATGATACCTTCGTATTGGACTTGAACTCCAGCAACCCAGAGTGGCAACATGTCAAAGTGAGCTCTCCACCTCCGGGGCGTTGGGGTCACACACTTTCTTGTGTCAATGGATCTCATTTGGTTCTATTTGGAGGCTGTGGCAGGCAGGGGTTACTCAATGATGTATTTGTGTTGGATTTAGATGCCAAACATCCAGCTTGGCGTGAAATCTCCAGCTTGGCCCCTCCACTTCCAAGATCATGGCACAGCTCCTGTACCCTAGATGGGTCCAAGTTGATTGTTTCTGGTGGTTGTGCAGATTCTGGAGTACTACTTAGTGATACTTTCCTCCTTGATCTCTCTATGGAGACGCCCATATGGCGTGAGATACCCGTAGCATGGACCCCGCCTTCTCGTTTGGGTCACACATTATCTGTTTATGGCGGCAGGAAAATTCTGATGTTTGGAGGACTTGCCAAGAGTGGGCCCCTGCGGTTCCGTTCGAGCGATGTGTTCACCATGGATTTGAGCGAGGAGGAACCATGCTGGAGATGTGTAACTGGGAGTGGAATGCCTGGAGCTGGAAATCCAGGTGGGATAGCTCCCCCTCCAAGACTTGATCATGTGGCAGTTAGCCTCCCTGGTGGTAGAATCCTTGTTTTTGGTGGGTCTGTGGCTGGTCTTCACTCAGCTTCACAGCTTTATATACTGGACCCCACTGAGGAGAAGCCTACGTGGAGATTATTAAATGTCCCTGGACGGCCTCCAAGATTTGCTTGGGGACACAGTACATGCGTTGTTGGAGGGACCAGGGCCATTGTTCTTGGAGGTCAAACAGGGGAAGAGTGGATGCTAAGTGAGCTTCACGAGCTATCTTTAGCAAGTTCTATAATCTGATTGGAGAAAGGCCAGCTGTTGTGAAGAAATCACGTCGGGTCTTTTGCCTCAGGAATTGAAGTTTGATACGAGTATAACCCATTATATGAGATTGATGGTGAATTTGCTAAAAATGCTTGATGGATATTGCAGAGGTCAGTGATGGTCTACTGATTGCTGTCTTTTGTTAGTTTTCTCGTGCAAGGTAGTTCGGGCAGGCAATGAACATGTCAACGGCTGGCTTATTCCGACTTTCTTTTGTGAGGTTTGTATGGGACTGTTCTTTGAACTGCACTTTGGATCATTCTGCCTTTCTAGGCTAATACTTGGTAGATTGGTAGGTACTATCAATGTAGGTGGTGGTGGTTCGGGTTCTGTAATTTTACCTTGAGAAAGGAAGAAAAAATATAGAATTAAACAAACACAATATCTGAAGGGTGCATGAATATATAGCAAGTGACGGACCGCTTGTGTTTTTGTCTTTGTCTGTAGACAACGCTATCTGTAGCTCGCGTTTGTTCATTAGAATGTCTCATCTGGGTTTAGACTTCTGAAACTGATGGCGAGGTCAGACGAGAATCAGATGAAGCCGTCCAGGCCGCCTCTGCTGTTCATGGTGATGCCCAAATTTGTTGCTGGCGTCACGTTTTTCTGGCTGAGGTATGCTTGCTTGATCTCAGAACACTGCCATTTTTGATGAATAAATGAGGAGGATACGACTTCTTCGTTTACTCGTCTGGATGATGGATTTTTCAGCGTTAGGCTGCTGTCTGTCTGTCTGTCTGTCTTCTTTACTGTATGGTGGTATACATATTTGTGATAATTTCTGGCAGTGGTTGGAACTCCTTTCATTTTAAACTGTAATATTTGAGTGTTGTAACCAATGCCTACTAATTTCAATGTTTATACAGCGTTTGAACAAACTACGAAGCTAAGAGGCAAAAATGGCATAAATGTGATGTTGTACAGTTGTGATTGTTTATTTGTATTAAGTAAATTATGTTGAAGTTGTTTTAAATTTGTTGCAGACAATATTGAATTTCTATCACCTCACCCACAAATAATAATTTTTTTAATTGTAAAATGACTCTCATGAGTTATAAAAACCCCCATTAAAATAATAAATTTTAGAGGGACAATATTTTTAAAATTTATTAACTACCATTGTCATATTAAAATAGTTAAATTTACCAATTTTTTTTGTTTTTTTTTTATAATTAATTAGTGACACTAAATGATATTCATGAGATAATTTCACCCTTACATACAATGAGGGAATGGAAGGGGATGTGCTTCAAATTTAGGCAACAAGAACAAGATCTCATCTTGAGAGGAAACTTGGCAAACACGAATTCTTATCACCATCGGACTTCCCCAAAACAAAACAATAATCGCCGACTTAATTAAAAATGGCCCAAAAAGAACACCCTAACGTCTCTCTCTCTCTCATTTTATCCAAAATTTAGGCGATTTTGAAAATTTATACCCAAAATTAGACGATTTTAAAACTAATTTTTAAACCCATGGATTGTTTAATACACCTATTGAATTAGTTGTAAGTTTTTATATTATATAAACCCACTTTTAATCCAACAACTATAGTTAGTTAAGTCCCTAAATTATATTTCTTTCATTTGTGTTTAGAATTGGGGGCTTTCTAACAAGTAGCGATTTCTATTTTGCTATAATAACTTCTTTTTGTTTCTTTTAGGATAACAAATGATATATTTAGGGCTTTGGATTTATCATGGATTTTTTTAGACACTCTATTTTGATTCTAAAATTTCATTACACTTTCTTCTAGTTTGTACTATAAAATCATTGACACCTCTTAGAGCATCTCCAAGTCTTACTTTTTTTTTTAAATTCGAATTTAAATTTGGATAAAAAACTCATAACAACTTTTGCCAATGTTAGACTTATATCTATATCAAATTAAGAGATACTCATTTTTTTTTATTCAAATCAAGAGAGATTCAAATCTATACAAAAATCTTTAATTGTGATATTTATTCTCAGTTAAATATCCAATGATCATATTTTAATCTCTTTTAAATTTGTGTTGCTCTAATTTAAATTTAGGTATCAAAATTTCATCCATTTTCAACTCCTATGTTATGTCCGTCTTTCGCAACATCGTTCAACCATTTTTCACAGATTATCCATCACATATCAAATTTAAATATTATTTGATAAAATTTAATATTGATTGAATAAATTTAGTCATAATTTGTCATAAATTTAAATATTAATTAATTAAATATAAATATTAATTACATAAATTTGAATGTTACTTTTATAAAATTCAAACGGGCCTGAGGACTTTTGAGGGAAGGTTATCACCTTTGGTCCTTTGCAAGATGATGCTGTAAAGTTATTACCTTTGCAAGTAATGGTTGAATTACTTTCACTTCCCTATCTCAAACTCAAACTCGACAGACGCACACAGAGCTTCTACTTTTTGAACACTAGGAACCTTCCCAATACTCTCTCTCTCCACCTCTGTGTGTGTTGTGTGTTAAAACAATTTTAGTTGCTTTTTTTTTTAAAATGCCGATGAACAAGGAATCAACACCACCTCCTAAGATAGGAAAGATCGGGCCGTACACTGTGTTTGTCACTCCTCCGGCTACCCCTAAACCAACCCAACTAGTTTCCGAGTCACTCGAGAAAACCATTCCTCCTCCACTGGTTCAATTGCCCAAAACAACAGTATCTCCGCTACGTCCTCCGACTCAATCTCCTGTAAAAACCGTATCGCAGCCTCCTCCACCGGTTCAGGCTCCGCCTCAGCAGTTTAATAAGTCCGCTGATGTACGGTCTCCTTCGACATTCGGGTTCTTCTGGAACGCCGTATCCAAGGTTCAAAACGGTATCGTTTTTTCTTTCTTCTCCCACTTAAAGTGACCTAGTTTCGGTTTGGTGCTTGATTTTCTCTCTAAAAAAAGCTTGGAATTGTAGCATGAAAATTTTGTTCTTTTTTGAATTTCACCCCCTTTTTATGTAGACAACCTAACAGGGCCTTGATTTTCTTACCTTTTTCTTCTATGAATTTTCCCTTGCATTTTTCTTGGGTTTTTAGTGCTTTAATTGGATTTTTTTTGTTCGTTTAGCGCACTCAAGTTTGGACGAGTATGTGGCGCATTGGTTCGGGTTGAATCAGTCAAAATATCAGTGGGCATTGGATGATTATTACCAAAGCAATGGCTCCGTAAGCATTCTCAGCAAATCATTTTTTATTTATTTATGAATTACATGAGATTTCTACAGTGTTCTGCAACACAAAACTAGTTCTAGATACAACCCATTTCAGCTAATTTTAGAATTATAAAACAAAGTTCAATGAATTCCTAGCAATATTAATGAAATTTTATCATATTAAATTACATGGTAACGATATTTTGCAGAATAGGGATAATATTTCAATTATTAAAATCTTCCACCAACTTCAACGTCAAATTTCATTAAAAAGGCCGTAAAAACTTCCAAATTGTGTTATCAAAATATGAATAATGATTTCTCCACAGAGTTCAAAAGTATAAAAAGATAGATGGAGAGACGAATAGAGTCATATGTTTTTTTTTTTTTTAAATAGAGGTTGATTTTAGTAAAGTAGGGGTTAATTTCCCCAAAAAAGGGAAAGGCAAATTGGGGGGGGGGGGGGAAGAGGGAGACACACAAGGAGAGAGAGAATCAGAGAGAGGTGGGCATTGACACCAAAAAACCGTGGTGAAGATGAAAACGAAAAATACTGAGTCCAATGACAAAATAGATAATTATACATAGAATAGTTGCGACTGTGAAGTTCACCGTCATAGTTTAGGTTAAGTTTGTATATTTATACCTAAAGCTCTAACATGATGTTATGCATTTCAAGTAGATATATGATATATCACTGAAATAGAAAAATACCTATGCCTCATTCGCCTCAGAGGTCCATTGAGACACTTCAGGTGCATCGTCTTGACTAAGACTCATAATTAACAACATTACATTAGCAATGGTAACCTTATGGTGGAGTGAACTTGGCTTTTTATACTTTTAATTAATGTAGAGAAACGATCAAGCATGTTATTTTATTATGTTGGTTGTAGCCTTTTTAAAAATGTCGCAGCCAGTGCATTCATCTCTTGCCTATAGTGGGGTATGAGAGAGGTAAAATGTTAAATGTGGACAGCCTTACCCCCATTTTAGATGGACAACCTTACCTGCATTTTGGAAACCTTTTTGAAGAAGTCAAATGTATAATTCCCTCACAACGAGAAAGACAAGACCAATTACAAAGGAACATGACTTGTGAATGTGCAATGACAGGACTTTCAGAATTTTAGGGACAGGTCCAACATCAAGTCATATGTGGATAACATAACCCATATAGCCCAACTGTTAAAGAATTTCTTGGTACGTTAGAGTTTGCTAATATATTTACTTATTGATTTTAAGTCTCATTATGATCATTCACATGTTTCGAAAAGTAATTTTTCTTGGGTTGCCATTGAATATAAGAATTATTCATGGGATTGCATATGAATAAGTTGTTTATAACCTAAACTTTTTTTTGTCTTTTTTCATAAGAGTTCAATACGATATTATGATGATGATTCTGCTTTTGGTTGCCTTAATTGATCCTTTTTTTCGTTTTCTTTTTTTCTCTCTTAAGGCTTTAATTGATCCTGTGGATTGCCTTGACAACCTCTCTTCCCCCAATTTAAGAAATCCCTGTTTTTTTTTAAAGAAAAATAATCTACCACCAAGAATCTTTGAACATTCCTGTCTGAAGCCTTGCCTAACTTATATTTCATGAACTAATATGGCTGGTGATGTATGTGCCACTGCCTGTATGTGGAGCATGTCTGAACAAAGCCACTGGTGAAGATCCTTGTAATGTCAACAAAAAAACAGAAAGGAAAACTAGACAGTGCAGCCACACAGCATAGTCTGCTGGGGAAGTAGCTTGGGCACACCCACATTTTTTATTTGGCATATTTAGGAGTGTCCCGCATCATGTATCTGATTATTTTGTGCACCTTCACGCAATAAACAATTATTTGTTAGGTCTGCAAAGTTCAATGCATAACACTATCCATACTCACAATTCATGTTCCTGGCAGTACAAACTCATAAACTTACTGGTTTGGAACCAACATCCTGATTACACAATGTTGTGTCTTAAGATTGGGAATCTTATCTTTTTGTTTGTCTGTCAACTTCTCCAAAATGGAATAAGACTGACCACCAACCACTTATCTTTCTCAGCCCCATGTAGACAGGACTATTTGGACCTTTTTATTCACTTGTTGATTTGTGAAGTTTTCCCCCCCTTCATTTTATTTTCTTTACTTCTATTTCTTCCCCTTCCTCTATGGTGGAAAAGTTAGAGGGTGCTCATTGTGGTGGCTGATCTTCACTTGTGTAGTTGTTTGAGTTGGTGTACTTGCCTTTATTGAGAAAGTGACACGAGGGATTTGAGTCTATCTCTGGGATTACCGATTACGTATGAGTTAAGAGTATAGCTTGAGCCCATGTTTCACATTTTCCTCAGAATCCCACTTCAACTGTAGAATTTGTAGGCTTCGCTATAACTATCAAATAAAAGGTTGCTTATATAGATTGTGTAGTATAGTCAGTGTCAAAAAAACCAGGATTCTCCACCAATATCCTTTTAATTCCAATAAGAAAATATTATCAAATTTTATCTGGTTGTATTTGTGGGCAGGATGCCATCTTACTACACATGGTGGCTTTTTTTTGTCTCTTGGAATTGTGAAAAATGATTATCATAAATCTTGTTGATGAAGCTCTGAGATTCACCACTTTATGTATTATTGGTTAAGCATTTTTCACAATATTGACTGCAGACTCAGGTAGATGCAATAGGGAAGGACGTATCTTCCAAGATGCAAAGGGTATGATATCCTTGGAGGGCAGGTAACAGAATGTGTAACTATCCTTGTTTTGTCTTCTTGTAAATTGTTGCTTTAACTTTTGTTTAACTTCGATTGTACTTTTTTCAGGATTTATGTGAAGCAAGGACACCTGCAAAATCTGCTTCTGAATATGCTATATCTACATGTAACATATTAAATAACACAATTGCCTATCGATGTACGAAGATGTCCATCTTCACGGACTGGGATCTGGCCGTCTCGATTTTTATGCTGTTCTGCTGTGGTGGCTAACATTGTTGTTGTTATGCAGGCCATGGGCTCTGTAATTTTTCAAGTTCCCTGTCATTTTTTTTTTTGCTAAGCTACCCTCTGTGTGCAATCACCCAGTATCTTAGATGTCTGTTAATGTATTCTTACCGTTGTTTTTCAGTTAACTCAAGAGTTTGAGACAATGGAGGTGTTATATTATATGTAGCGATGAAGAGAGATTACTTTTGTTTGGTTTTGTTATTTTCTTTCTTCTTACATTGCGGAAATGTCTTTTCTCTCCAGGTTTTATTAGGGGACGGAGGCTTCCCAGAACTAACAGATCATTTGAAGGACTTGGTGGTGACATATTTGACGACTGAGTTAATTTATTATCTTCGAATTTGTTGGGTTTTGTGGGTAAATTCTATTTTACCTACTGCTTATTTGATTTAAGTGATATTTCACCCCTCTATATTAAAATAAATATGCATAATTTCTTGTAGTTTGGGTTGAAAGTGCAAACATAGTGGTCAATATTTTGATCTAAACTATTTTTAAACTAGTTTTGAGTTACACTGGTTGACTCAGAGTTTGAGGGTGTAAAGAGGTAAATTATCTCTATTTCAAACAATGATGTGTAATTTGTAATTTGTTTGTTTGTTTTTTTTTTTTTTTTTATAAATTAGGGGTAACTTGTATCTAAAGGCACATGAATGGTTTTGAGAAGAATGTTGTTAGGTGTTAGATGAGTCTATTTGAGATCGTTGAATGAATTTATTGAAATTAGTCCTATCTTATATTATAGATAACTACTACAATATGTTTAGACCTATTTTTTTACAGACAAACAACCAACAATTCACCATATTCTTAAATTATTTCCTAGGAATCCCCAAATATGAGGTACAAAGTTGGAGAACAAGAGAGAGCTCGAGAGGTTCGGCTCTTGCCCTCCTTGCATCCTCGAAGCAATCAGCCGTTTGGTTGTTTGTTGACAGATTGTGGCTTTCCATAAATGATTGGTAACGTAACACAAATGTCTTTGTTACCTTTTTTTTCTATTGTAAGCATAAAACAAATGTTTATCTTTTTTAATTGGTTTATCTCTTTCTCAAAAGTAACCGTCCGTGTTAGGACAAAGCAAGAAAACAAAATGAGACAGTTCGAGGGGCAAAGTAAATATTATTTTTTGACAAATTTGCAACGGACATGAATATTGAGATAGTGTAAAAGCAATAACCATAGGTAAAAGTGGTTGTTGAGAGCAATAAGAGAGGGAGATCATAGTTGATGGGTCAAAGTATAATTAATTTTTTTCTTCCAAATATGATATAGTAGTACAGGGAGTTGTTTATATTCGACTGCCAAATACAACTTCTGTTTTAGAAGTCATGGGTATCATCTCCTAGAAGGAAGGACAAAGGGTTCTACATCACTGATTTGTCATTTTATGGAAGTTACTATGAAACTGTTGTCACTTGACACAAGACAAGCGTGCATCTACTATAGAATATTTCGTTATGTACAATGAACTTGCCTTGAAAATGCAGATAGTTCTCCGATATACCATCTGTCTTAATTATAGTTTTATACGATATAAACCTAATTGTACAAGATTATAAAATAGACGAGTATGTGACAAACAAATTCTAACACAATGACACCTATAATTTTTAAGTCATACCTGCCTTTATTTGGAAAAAATGAATTATCTTCTTAGAAAATATTTTCTATGAGTTACAAGCAAAATCAATCCATTCGTTAATTATCTGTTACCTGATTTTCATAATTTGTAGGTTTTTTTGGCTTAAATTTCAGCCTCTTTTCTTTGTATTTTTATTTTATATCCGAGTCTTATTTGCAAAACCTGAATGCAAATTTACATTTTTAAGGTTTGTCAGTATTTTTGCATCTCAAACCAAAGGAAAAATAACTTTTTATTAATATTTAGTAAATACTTGGTCGTATATATATTGAGCAATGTTACTGAAATCTAATTTATTGACCTAATTCACCATGATCTTTGAATTGATTGTGGGCTCCATCAAACATTGGAACTTAGTGTTGTTCCAATGATTCTAATGAAACCACGTCATTAGATTAGTAAATTAAGTCAAATTTTTGGGTTCAAATATCATTTTTCATTTATATTATTATATCTTATAGTGTCAGGGCCTCTTATAAAATTTTTGCTTAGGACCATGACCGGCCTCGTAGATAATTTCTCTCTTAACGCGGTTTCGAGTGTACAATTTCACTGCTACTGCTTTTTTGAGTACTAAGGGTTTTTGAATACTTCTGTTTCTCCTCTGTTTCCACCTTCTTCGAAATGTCAAGTTCCGGTACTGCCGATTCAGCGACCATAGCAACAATTTCCGTTGTTGCGAGCTTGGGTAAGGTTTTTGTCCCCCCCAAAAAAAAACACTTTATTTTTTTTCATTTTGATGCTTTATTTTTCAGCATGGAATCGAAAGGTTGTGGAAACAAAGCAGAAACATAGAAAATTTTTGAAAATCTGTTTTCAAAACATTAGTAAAAATACATTGAGATTGATATTCAGTTAATGATTCGAGTCTTAATTTTGATTTTCTTGTGCAGTTGTAATAATTATAAAGATCATCGTGGTAGTGGTAGTGTGCCAGAAAAGAGCTGAAATAAAAGGCAAGAGTACAGTTGGACCAGACCCCAGATTTCTTCCACCTACAATGGTCAAATTCCTTGACAATATGGACAGAGAAAAGCTCATCAGATTTACTTCTCAGCAGCTGAGTATTGCAACTGATAAGTTCAGCAACCTGTTAGGTTCTGGTGGATTCGGATCAGTCTATAAAGGGATTTTCAGCAATGGAACCACGGTGGCAGTGAAGGTTCTAATTGGTACCTCGGACAAGAGAATCGAAGAACAGTTCATGGCAGAAGTCAGCACCATAGGAAGAACACATCATTTCAATCTGGTTCGGCTATATGGATTCTGTTTTGAACATTGTCTGAGGGCTTTGGTTTACGAGTATATGGGTAATGGGTCACTTGACAAGTACTTATTCCGCGAAAAAACCATCTTAGCATTCGACAAACTCCATGAAATTGCAGTCGGGACAGCCCGAGGGATAGCTTACTTGCATGAAGAGTGCCAGCAAAGAATAGTCCACTATGATATAAAACCAGGAAACATCCTTCTGGATGCAGAATTCAATCCTAAAGTAGCTGATTTCGGTTTAGCAAAGCTTTCTAACCGCGACAACACACATATCACAATGACCGGAGGGAGGGGGACGCCAGGCTATGCTGCCCCGGAGCTGTGGATGCCATTACCAATCACACACAAGTGTGATGTTTACAGTTTTGGGATGCTTCTGTTTGAAATTGTTGGGAGGAGAAGGAACATTGACGTTAATCTTACCGACAGCCAAGAGTGGTTTCCGACATGGGTGTGGAATAAGATTGAAAAGGGAGAATTGGGGGGGATGATAACAATGTGTGGGATTGAGGAGAGAGATAGGGAAGTGGCAGAAAGGATGGTGAAGGTGGCTTTTTGTTGTGTTCAATATAGGCCTGAAACAAGGCCTGTGATGAGCATTGTAGTGAAAATGTTAGAAGGAGCTTTGGAGGTTCCAACACCAGTAAATCCATTTCAATACTTATCTGTAGGGGCTAGTCCAGGTCAGTTTGGAGGCATGACCTGGGATGCCAGTGAATTTTCAAGTTCATCTCAAACGGTAACAGGATCTGCCTTTGTAATTGGAACACCTACAATGAGGCGATATGAAATCGAAATAGCCTCTACTTAGGAATGCTCTTTGAATTACTCTATGTGTGTGGACTCACATTGTAAAACACTGTCTTTATGTGCAGCTTGATGTTGGTTATCAGATGAATAAGATAAACTACAATCTTACCACTCTATCTCTCTTTCGTAACCCTACCATGATTTGTTACATCTTTGAATTGAATATGCATGTGCATCCTTAATTATGCTTAACATCCCCCCATAAGGTGAGGGTCTTCACACCAAACTCTTGTGCAAAGGTGGCGACTTGAGTACTAGGAAGGCTCTTCGTGAAGCTGTCGGCGAGTAGATGAGCTAAAGACTTGAAATGAACACGTAATGAATTAGATGTGACATTTTCCCTATCAAAATAGTAATCGAGCTCTATATGTTTTGTGCACGCATGAAACGTGGGATTGGAAGCCATAAACGCGGGATTGTTTGTTGCTCTCACAAAACAATGTAGGAGTCTTGGGTGAAGAGAACTTCAAATTTTGGAGAAGATAAGTGATCCAAGTCATGTTCGCAGTAGCATAAGCAAGAGTGATATTAGACTTCTGCACTAGAACGAGCAACTGTTGGTCTTTTCTTTGAGCTCTAAGAAATGAAATCAACTCCAAGAAAAATGGTATACCAAACAAGTATCCGAGCATGTAACCTAATTAGTAGCACTGTAACCAAGTAACTCAGGAGGGTTGTGCGCATGAAGATAAAGGCCATGAGAAATTGTATCTTTCACATAGTGAAGAAAGTGCCCTCAATTCTACGAAAATATTTGTTTTCGGATGGTAAAAAAATTTTATTGATCAAAAGCTTTACAAGTGACAGGTGCCTTTACATTCATTGCCCAGGCCTCAACACCCACGCACCATCGCCCAAGACCCTAGGACCCCCTGCCCCTGTGAAACCTACATTGATGCGAAGAAAGGAATGATGATGCAGACACAGACACAGGCTTCTTTGATCAGTTTGCTCTAATTTTTGCTTCTCAATTGCTGATTTTTTTTTCCATTTCAATTTCTTTCCATCCAACCACAAAGCTGATTCTAAATCGGTGAATGATTAGCATTTCACAATTGTAATCTCTTGCTTAAAACTAAATCTTTCCTTCTTACATATGTTGTGTGTTGGTCAGATGCCAATAATCATTTTTGGGAGTATAAGAATTGGGGTTTTATGTAGGTTGATTTTATGTTGTTTAAGGATGTGGGAAATGAGGTTAAGGTCGATCACTGGAATTTTACACTAACATGGTAGTTTTTAACAAAACAGGATGTTCTGTTTTTAAATCTCGCTGTCATTCTAATTATTAAAAACAAAATTCACGTGCTAAGCCCAAAATATAGCCTTTAGTTTTCATTTTTTATTTTTCATCCATCTCATTAGCTAATATAATCTATTGAAAATTTTAAAAGGGGCTAATTATTGAATTGAAAGGAATTTGATTGTAATATAACCCAAAATTAAAAGGGATAAATTATAATTAACCGATACAAATTATAAAATTGAAATTCGTAGTATACTTGATTGAATTAAGAATGAATTTTTTAATATGACGCACATCAAACAAAATCCCATCCATGAGAGGCCAATTATTATGTTCATATTTCTTAAACATAAACAAAGACTTTGTGTAACTTGACCAAAAACACGGGGGAATGAATATGCAATTGTCAGTAGTGTATCTCATTACAAGATGTGCGATTGACTCAAGATTGATTTCTGAATGATTGACTTACCATTAATTTTATAATTTCCTAATGTGACAAAATTCGAACAGCTGGTACAATTTTGCTCGGAAGCTTCAACTTCCGGTTTCTGGTATATGGTAATGATCAGTTGCAATAGTACCTCTAGCAATTGAAATCTTTAACATATGGTTAGATCAATTTATAAAATAAACACTCCCCACAAAAATCAGAACTTAGGAAATTTGTTATATGTATTGTACCCTTAATCAAATTTAGTTCAATACCCGAATTTGAATCAAATAATTTTTTTTTAAGGAAATGATAGCCTCTCGCAATCTTTTATCATTATAAAGATCCTTCGATAGATGACCACATACCATGAGATAAGGTGGAACTGCATATACTTTAATAATGTAGTTGGGTCTGAAAATCCTCAAATCTTCCATCCCTAACCTGAAATCTCTCTCTCTCCCCCAGATAAGGGTGGGATAGGGGATGGCAAGGTGGGGGGAGGGGAGTGAAGATTGGTCAACAATGCAAATTCTTGACCTTTTTTTCTATAAAGGTGTGCATGCAAAGTCAAGCACGTCGTGTTCAGTTAATTTGCTTGGAAGCCTTCTATTTAGAAAAAAGCTACACCTAAAACGCGTTGTTGGGTAGTTAAATCTAAGGCCAAACTCAAGATAAACCACATTCCCATCTCAACAAAAATTCCTCAAAAACACTTCTTCATGCTCACCAGGTGTTTGTAAGAATGACTCCTCCAACGTTTTGGCTGGTTAATGACGGGAAGGGCAGTGTCACCTTCGACCAAGTTCCGCCAAGTGACACAAACTCATTCACTGACACCTTTGATTCATCTGTAAAATGGGCAACAACAGCTTCTATTAGTAATTTACTCCAACCCAATAAATTATTTGCTTAATTCTCTTTAATTGTTAAAAGTTCTTTTTTTTGTTTTTTGGGTGAGAGTGAGTTTTAGCAATTATGACCTGGGCATTAAGGGCTTGAGTCATGAAAATAATCGCTCTTTGCATTCTGTGTTAAGGCTGCATAGACCTCGCAGTGGCGGGAGTCTCTGCCAATTTTTTGTTAAACTTTTCGTTTTGCTGATCTTAATATTCAACTTCCAGTTTCTGGTGTGGTGATGACCGTTGCAATTGTTGCCATTGTACTTGCAATAATTGATTGCTTGAAGAAAGCAGGAAGCGCAATTCCAACGTACGCCCGGATAGCCACCAGTGACAACGATAAAGTTTCAAATTCACCTCCTACAAGCAGCAGCTTAGCGGTGGATATACCACCAAATTTCCCAGTGATTCGAGACTCGGAGGTCCGAGGAGCTACCATGGAGAGATTCCTCAGCAAGATGGCCAGAGAGAAACCCATAAGGTTTTCACCTCAGCAGCTTCAAGAATTCACTCAAAACTTTTCCACTGTATTGGGTTCTGGTGCTTTTGGAGTAGTGTTTAAAGGAGAGTTCCCTGATGGAGTACAAGTTGCTGTCAAAGTCCTTACCAACAACCCGGATAAGAGAATTGAAGAACAGTTCATGGCTGAAGTCAGCACCATCGGAAGAACTTATCATATGAATTTGGTAAGACTTTATGGTTTCTGTTTCGATCCCACAATCAGAGCACTTGTTTATGAGTTCATGGAAAAGGGATCACTTGATAGATTATTGTTCAGCAAAAACTCGGAAATTGAGTGGCAGAAGCTGAATGAGATTGCCATTGGAACAGCTAAAGGAATAGCATACTTACATGAAGAATGCCAACAGAGAATAATTCACTATGATATAAAGCCTGAGAATGTTCTTCTTGATCGAAACTTCAATGCAAAGGTTGCAGATTTTGGACTAGCCAAGCTCTGCAATCGAGAAAGCAGTCAAGTAATCATGACTGGCCTCAGAGGAACTCCAGGTTATGCCGCCCCTGAGCTGTGGAAGCCATATCCTGTTACTTGCAAGTGTGACATATACAGCTATGGTATTGCTCAGTCACTAAGTGTCTCAATCTGTTATGTCACGTATCGATATCTCATGAATTTACGGTTTTTTTTTGGGTGTAAACAGGTATGCTGTTATTTGAGATCGTGGGACGGAGGAGAAACCTTGATGCTAACTTAAGCGAGACTCGAGAATGGCTTCCCAGATGGACGTGGGAAATGGTTGAGAAGGATGAATTAGCCGAGATGCTGAAGCTTTGCGGTATCGAGGAGGAGAGAGAAAGAGAGAAGGCAGAGAGAATGTCAATGGTGGCTCTTTGGTGTATTCAGTACCAGCCAGAAGCAAGGCCAACCATGAGCACTGTGGTGAAGATGTTGGAAGGAGAAACTGAAATCGCTCCACCTCCATATCCATTTCAGCGTTTTGAATCTTTTGGACAAAATGGATTGGACAGTGGAAGCAATGAAAACTCAGATCTTTCACCAACAACAAGAAGAACTTCTGAAGAGCCATCATATTCCAACACTATAGAGGGAACATTAGAGATAGAATTAGCTACTTAGTTCCCCATACATATTTGGATTAATTAATGTATGTTTGTATGTTCTATCTAAATTGTATTGTTTTTCTTTTTGTTTCATTTTTTTTTGTGGGCAAAATACAATACTCGTGGTACTTGATTTGTGCAATCAGTTATAAATATTAAATTCATTATTCCATAAAATTAATAGAGTGGACATATGACAATCGGTATCAAAAAATACATAACTCTTTTGCTTAAATTATCTATAAAGATTTAAGTGATTCGATTTTTAAAAAATAAATTGAAAAAGGCAAGTTTCTCCGAGAAGAAGAAAAGGAGGGGAATAAGAAAAAGAAAAGAAAGAAGAAGAACAGAGGAGCAATTTTGGTGGCGTTTTTGCTATCTCAAAATGTTGTTTTATTTACTAAATCTCGAACAAAGCGCTTATACGAAAGTTAAATTTGCTAGAAATTACTTAAGGATTATACAATTATTTTTGTTTAATACTTGGGTAATATACACAGATAGTAATCCGTACGTGATAAAATAAAATTTGAAGGTTGATATTTTCAATTTCCATAGCTACGAGGACACTTCTCCTCATTCCGAATGGGTGGACTTCACGTAGCCTATGCCTACATGAAGTCCACCCATGAATTTAAAAGTAACGTTAATGTTGTTGTCAACTAAGTAGATGACTCTATCCCCAGTGTTCCCTGTACATGGTTGGAAGAGGATGGTTCAGAAGTTGTCCCACTGGCCAAGCCAAAGCGACCAAGACGATATTCCAAACTCTGAAATTTTGGATACGGAGGTGGTGTTATTTCTATTTCTCCTTCCAACATTTTCACTACGGTGCTCATAGCTGGTCTTGCTTCTGGCTGCAACTGAACACACCACAGAGCCACCATTGACATTCTCTCTGCCTTCTCTCTGTCTCTCTCCTCGATACCACAGAGCGACAGCATCTCGGGTAATTTATCCTTCTCAAACAGTTCCCACGTCCATCGGGGTAGCGATTGTCGAGAATTGCTTGAGTTAGGTAAATGGTTTCTCCTTCTCCCCACAATCTCAAATAAGAGCATACCATAGCTGTATACATCACACTTGTGGGTTACTGGATGAGGCTTCCACAGCTCAGGGGCGGCGTATCCTCGTGTTCCTCTAAAGCCTGTCATCAATACTTGACTACTTTCTCTACTATAAAGCTTGGCCAATCCGAAATCTGCAACCTTCGCATTGAAGTTTCGATCAAGAAGAACATTCTCGGGCTTTATATCGTAATGAATAATTCTCTGTTGGCATTCCTCATGTAAGTATGCTATTCCTTTGGCTGTTCCTATTGCAATCTCGTGTAGCTTCCCCCACTCCATCTCCGAGTCGCTGAACAAAAATTTGTCTAGGGAACCATTTTCCATGAACTCGTAAACAAGTGCCCTCATTTTGGGATCAGAGCAGAATCCATAAAGTCTCACCAGATTGAAATGATAAGTTCTTCCGATAGTGCTTACTTCAGCCATGAATTGTTCTTCGATTCTCATGTCCGGGTTATTGTGACGCAACTTGACAGCCACTTGCCGTCCATCTGGGAACTCTCCTTGAACCACGACTCCAAAAGCACCAGAACCCAATTTGGTATAGTCTTTGGTGAATTCTCTTCAATCTCCTGACGCGAAAACGCGATGGGCTTCTCTCTGGCAATGTTGCAGAGAATTCTCTCCTCAGTAGCTCCTTGAACCTGCGAGTCGATACTCAAAGGGTAATTGGGTGGTATAGCCACTGCGACGCTGTCGCTTGTAAGAGGTTGCTCTGTAGCCTTCATTTTCTCATTGGTGGCTATCCGGGCGTACATTGGAATTGCGCTTCCTGTTTTCTTCAAGCAGTCAATTATTGCAAATACTATAGCCACAATTGCAACGGTTATCACCACTCCAGAAACTGAAAGTTGAACATTGAGATTGAAGAAATTTATAATCTGAGAGATATTAGAGAAATTAAAGGTAAAAAAAACAGGAGAAGAAAATAATGAATATATGTAGGTCGGTCTACGAAACCTACATTTGTACCATAAACCTAAGAAAGCTACATCAAATGGTTTAAGTTATGCCCACAAGGCATCAGCCAATCGAAGTGATCAATTCTTACAATAGGTTCACCATCTTCTCCAATATGTGCTTAATTTTCCTATTGGCCAACTTAGCTTAGCCGTCGGTGTGTGGGTGATAAGTGGTGGACAATTTGTGTGTGTGATATCATATTTATGCATTCAAGTTTCAAATGATCTATTACAAAAATATGAACTGTCATCACTGATGATTACCTGGGCATTTCAAACGTACCTCATGTATTGACACATAGACTTTAACACTATATCATTACATTGCTCATAATTTTTCAAGAGACCTGTTGATAATGAGTCTCAAGATGTAACATGGATTTTAATTGGGAGTGTCTTTTGATAATATGGATACTAAGCATGTGTAACCAAATAACATTTGGTTGTCACAATACAAATCAGCTCAGGATGGCTATACAAATCAAACAGACATTTATACAACAACTCTATATACTACCAAAGACAATCTTTATGCAAAGTCATATACATTGTGACATTAAGAATGCTCCCAAGCCACAAATCAATGAACATAATATCAAATCAAGAAAATTTTAACCTTACTAAATCAATTGATATTGAACATACCACCACTAAATCTTGGACTCACAAATCAAATAATGTGGATCACCATATCACCAGGAATTTACACATTCACCAAATAAGCGCAAATCCAAATCAAACCTGCAACCAGGAAAATTCTTTAGCATATTTAACAATTACCATAACCACCAAAAAAAATTCACATCAAAACACTTGTGCCAATAAAAATCACAAAAGCCAACCTATCATGTGCTGCCTTATAGGCAGTGAGAGTATTCACGACTATCTCCTCCTCTCCTCCCATAATCTTCAGCATTTTTGTTGTCTTTTCTCTGCCCTGATCAATCTCACCAAAAGTCAAGAAATTGTGGATATACCTTGCATATACTTGTGTATAAACTTAAAATCTTACCTCCTTTATACGTCTAAAACTGCAAAAATATATATAAAAAAAAGTTATAATTATTGGGGGCAAAACATACCAATTATAAACGTTAGTCTTTTTTTTCATTGAGGCAAAATAACAAAAAGTTTAAATCATTACATATATGAAACATATTGCCCGAGAAATTCCATGATACCTGAAGAAAAAATTAAGTTAGGTAATAACCCATCTCAATGAGGGATAGCATAGCCGTACGTTATAAATAATATTTTTATATTTTAATTTTAAGTCATAATAACCATGATCTTCACAACAAAACTACCACCCAAATCCTAAATCTAAGCATAACCATAACTACCACAACATTGCAAAGGCCATGATTTTATACCACCACACAATGCTATTAAATTATAAAAAAAAACACAATTTGGCATAGAATAATCAAGATTAAAAGAGTACTTGATCATCTTCGAGACTTGGGATCCAATCGTTTGTTGCTAGGTTGGTTTTAAATACCATTTTTCTGTATCCTCCATTAATGTTTTCTTCAGCTCCTGGCAACTGAAGGGCATATTCTTCTTCACCCTTTTCACTCACTACCTTTATAAACCCACTTCCAGTCTGTTCAACGTGAAAAAGAAAAAAAAAATTATCCTATCAACAATATCATTTGTACATAATCTACAAATCAAATACATCATTACAAGATCATCAAATTGACTACATATGTTAATAAATAGTGAGATCAACTGTCAATTCAATGATCGATCGATCATGATTAACTGAATTAATAAATTATGTCAGAAAATTATGTCTTTTCAGTTTCACCAGACGAAACATGCTAAATATAAAAACCTACAACAACTAAAATAAAAAGGAAAGGAAAATAAGTTTTGCACCGCGTAGTGTTGTTTGTCAATAGAATCCAACTCTTTGTAGTACTGTGTCTCCACAAATTCCTCTTGTTCCAGGGTATTTGGATCAGTGAACATAACCTGATCGAATTTATCATACCACCGATTAGCGAACGATCCACATCACAGCCCCAAAAAAAGTGGTGAAAAACAGAGGGGTCTAAGAGTAAAAAAGAGAATATGCGATAAGATTGATAAAAGTTTCAAATTTTAACTTAGAAATATATTAACTTAGACCATCCAATATAATAAAATAGTCTGAAAGATTAGACATGGACATAATTGCACATCAGTAGCATCCAAAGTAAAAGCAAAAGCAAAAGCAAATTGACATTGTACACTGAGTGGACCAAAGTTGACCCTGTAAGGAATAGCCCAAAAAAAATATTACAACAAACGCAACCAGTAAAAACTACTACTTGTTTATAAATAAGACCCCAAGTAGATTAAATGACATTGCCCACATGAGGAGACACATGCATTATGTTGATGGCTCAATTAGCTATCTGAAGGTTACAAATATGGAGTTGGGTTTTATGTTGCATATGGAATCCTCAACTGATCAATCATACTTCATATGTACTTGAATTCTCCTTAAACTGACATTGCACATCAGTAGCATTCAAAGTTCACCAAACCAATAAATTAATTAAAATCTTAACAAAATTGAAAAAAAAATATTTCCGTAGAGATTGGTGGTGCTGGGAGGTGGTCGAGTTGTTCTGGAAACTTCACCGTTGAGAGAGAAGAAAACTCTTTTGAAAAGCATTTCAACAAACAACTTATATGCAGCATATAAACAGTTGAAATGCTAGACCCACACTTTCGATTCCAACACAGAGAGAGTGAGAGGAGTGCAGTAAGAGAGAAGAGGGAGAAAGAGGAGATTTGACAAAGATGCCATCGTCAGCTTCGATTTTCTTTAGAGACCCATGATAGCGGCAGCTAGTGTGGGTGTGTGAGAGCAAATATAAAAGAGAGACAAAGAAGATGGGGAGAAAGAAAATATGGGTGATTTATGGGAAAGCAGGGTGAGAGTTGTGCTGAATGCCGAAATATTTGGGTTCGGAGTTGGACTCCAGAGAGAAAGGGAGTAGATAAATTGTTAGAGCAAATACTGAGATACCTCGGCGTGAGAGATTTTGGAGATTTTAGGGATGAGCAAGGGAAGATTTTGGGAGATGAGTTTGGAAGGCAGAGGATGAGATTGAGAAAGATTCTGAGAGAGATTTTGGGGGAAGATTTGGGGGAATCAGAGGAGAGAGAGGTGTCAGTCATGCAAAAAACCCTTATAATTTAAACATGAATTTTGTTGGGCGGGAAAACTAAATTCGATAATCACTTTACATCGTTAGATCAAAATTTTTGAGATGATCTGAATTTTCTTTTATGTTGAGATTATGTTGTCCGTTGGATGTGTTTAAGTTTTGTCTCAAAACGATCTGGACCTCTCTTTGTCTATTGGATTCAAACTCAGCTCTACTTTATTATATAGACTAGCTAATGCCCGTGTCTGAAGGCACTGTGTGACACAACAAAATTGCCCGAATAAAAAATCAAACCCACAAATATTAGAAAATGGGAAAAAAAAATTAGTAACCACAAAAGAAATCATAGAACCCACAAATACTAATTGAGTTGAACTTAAATAACTATAATTGACTATCATGTCAATATTTTTAATCCTATTAAATCTGCACATAATAACTCAATACTCACGATCATCACGCATACACATTTCATCTTATAATATTACATAGAGGAGAATTATTTATAGCAATGCAACATCATTTCCTCCATGGAACAACAAAAAATTCTAGGCTTGATTAAACATCAATTTTTACTCTTGAATAACTATAAAACCCATTAAGCTTGATTTAAAGTAGTCATAGTGGCAACTAAACAACCAAATAATAACCAAAAACTCCCTAAATTAGTAATTGAAACTCTTGAATGAACTACACAAAGCTAGGTGCATACAAATTAGTGAAGTATGCACAACCACAAATAAAGGAACTGATTAAAAAAAAAGAAACAAAAATTGCAAGGTCAAACAGTAGAATGACAAAAATATACACAAACTTTCTAATTTTCATTCACAAAAGCTTTTCTAATATAACATGTTGGTCGAATGAGCAATTTGGCAAAACAGTATTTTAATTCTATACAAATGTTTTTACCTTTACACTTTATTACTCACACTATGCATGAACCCCATTTCATTTGAATTTGACAAAAGTTCCTGAAAAAAAAATTTCAAATCAACTTAAAAGTTAGTTGTCAAATTTTCCGTGTTCTAGTTTTTATATAGGCATTTTGTTGACATTTAATAACAACCTAAAGAAGAAGCATGTCACAAAGGAAAAACAACACCTAGCTAACAGAACATAATTGCTCTTTTGTTTAAAAGGGGAACTTAGAAAAAAATTTATACCATTGACATTCAAGGATTATAATGAAATATAGGAACTGTGATGGTTATTGCAAAAGACACAGGCCCCACCTCAATATTAATCTTTATAACAAATCATTGTCGTAACTCTACTGTGACTGTAGGGTCACATACAGGTTCGAATTCACATGAACAGTCTCTCCGTAAATCAGGATAAGTTTATATATATTTGACACTCCCTAGACCCTGTCTATCTGGTCTATTACATTGCCTTTTTTTTTCCTTACAGGCTAACTGTTACCTACCGATGATGTTTTTACCATTATAATTTATCAAATACTTAGTTATGGTGAAGTAACATGATTTTGAGGAGATTACAGTACCAAACTGAGTGATGCCAATGCCTATTCAAATATTTTGAATAGGCCCATATCAGCAGAACATAATAAGTATCCTCTAGCAGGATAGTAGTGAAGACTAAAAATACAATTGATAAGGGGGAGGATGATCACAATATTTGCTTCTTTTTCATTAATTTTCATTCATCATAACAAAAAAAAAAGAAGTAAAACTGACACATAAAAACACAGAACATGCAGGATTATGTGATTCAACTCAAAAGCCTACGTTCAAGGACGAAACATTTCGACCAAAAGTCGCTATATACATGATCAAGAAGATTACAAAGAGTTCTCACAAAGCAGAAGTAATAGAGCTTATGCCCACTTTTATACAAATGTAAAATGTATAAGCACCCATATTCATTGTTTTCGGATTAGATTAGATTTTCAGTCTCTGATCACATCAAATATCCAATTCCTGATTGAATCAGATTTGTAGCTCTCTACTTCATATTCTAGGGCTCATAAAATTGTCATATACAGCGTCATGGGGGCTTTATGATAGATTGATATTATGAATCAGAGTGAAATACATGACATTCAATAAAAACTTAAAAACACTTTGTCAGATCAGTACTCATAATGGAGCCAAAATCAACACAAATTCATTGAAAGAAAATAGATTCGCAATCAAAGAAGATTGCTACACTTTAAACAAATAGGAATTAAAAACCCTAAAATCTCCAAACATTGATACTACCTGGCCATGAAAAAATTCATCTCAATTTGGTGAAACACATGATTTAAGATCACATTCTGTAAAAATTTGTTTTCTGAAATATTGCATTAACCAAAAACTTTAATCTAACAAATTGTGTACTTAGAAACATAGTAAATCAAAAAGGATATTTTAGAGAAAGTGAAGGTATATACTAATGGCAATGAATAATTCCTGCCCAAAAATGTGGAACCCCACATAACGAAATATAAAGAATCACACCAGTACTCCATATATCAACCTCTGACTCATAGTTCCACTTCAAAAGCTTTGTTGCTGCATAGTAGAGTGTACCCATATCCCTGAAAAAACCAAGAAATCCAAATCAAAATTAGCAAACTCCCATCACCAATCGCAAGTCTCATAAAACAATTCAATCAACTACAAAAAAGAAAAAAAAAATCATCATCATCAAATTCAATCAACACCCGAATGAATACATGCCTAAAAATAATTTAATATATAAAATAATCCAAACCAAACAAAGTTACACAAACCAAACACAAAATACATACACAAAGTAATTTGAAATTTGTATGTAAGTGTGTGGTTCAAAGATGCTGCGATCTTGGACTGGTTTCGGTGAGGATGATTTAGTGGTGTTTTAGGGGTTCGGTGGTGGGTCTAGTTTGGGGGTTTCAATGGGGCTCATTTGAGGGTTTGGGGGTTTCGGTGTGGTCGGAGATGCTGTGATCTTGGAGTGATTTTAGTGGGGCTGGTTTGGCGGTGGTTTAGGGGTTTAGTGGTGGGGTGGTTTGGGGGTTTTGATGGGGGTTGATGTGAGGTGGTTAGGGGGTTGTGGTTGGTGTCGTTGGTGGTTCCCTTAAAGCTCGCTGGTGGTTGTCGTGGAGGTGGGTAGGGGATAAGAAGCATAAGGAGAATGAGGGAAGGAAGGAGTACCTTGGTGGTGGTTTCGATGGTTATTGGGCGGTTGGTCTTTGGTAGCTCCGGCTTGTAGAGAGAGAAGAGAAAAGAGAGGGGCAAGAAAGAATAGGGCAACACAAGAGTGAGAGATGAGAAAAATACGGGAGAATTAACAACTAGACTATGAGACCGGAAGAGATGTATTTTAAGTTAGATAGAGACTTCAGAGTCTTAGAATGAAAGGTCTCTTAGAATTGTTGGGCGGGAAAATAAAAGTTAATACTCATTATAGACTGTTAGATCAAAATTTTTGAAAGATCTGAACCGTCTTTTATGTTGGAATTATGTTGTTCGTTAATTTGTTAATATTTTGTCTTAAAATGATTTGAACCTCTCTTTGTCTTTTATGGAAGCTACTAAGAAACTATTGTCATTTCACACAAGACAGCGTGCATCTACTATAGAATATTTTGTTATGTACAATGAACTTTGCCTTGAAAATGTGATTTGTTTTCGAATATATCATCATCTTAATCATAGTTTTATACGATACAAACTTGATTATACAAGATTATAAAAGAGATAAGTATATGACAAACTTTAATTTCGTATAATTATAGGGGATCTGCGTGTTAATTTTAAATGTGAAAGGATCTACATATGGAATTTGCCAAATTCTACATTTCTTTGTATTTTTTTGGTGCATCCATCACACATTCAAGCTCATAGTTTATTACTTAGTAAATGATAAATCAAATATTAAAGAGTTAAAATCGGTGTAAGATGTTAGATAAGTCAAACAGGTCATTTTCAGTTAATTTGCTTGGAAGCTTCATGGTTAGAAAAAAAGTCAATTGTACTTAGTTGGGTCAATAGCATTTTTAGACTTTTAGTCGTTAAAGTGCCATTTTCAGTTAATTTGCTTGGAAGCTGCATGGTTAGAAAAAAAAGCCAATTGTACTTGGATGGGTCAATAGCGCGTTTCTATCATTTTAGTCTTCCATATATTAATTGTATCAATTTAGTTATTAAAATATTAAATTCGTATTTAAATGATTCATAATCAGATGGTCTGTTAAGTTTTTTGATAGAAGTGATCACGTATTATTTTTTCAAATAGTATCACGTAATCACTTTCTTGAAAAATTTGTGTATAGACTATTTAAATGTAAATTGAATATTTTAGAGATTAAATTGATACAATCAAAATCAAAATGACAAAATATGCATTCTTTAGGGGTTAAAAGTATTATTAACTATTCTTAAATCATTTAAACTGCTTGGAAGCTTCCTAGTTGGAAAAATAACCAATTATACTTCGATCATCTAAACTAATAAGTCTTTTGTTTGGCATTGTTTCTCGAACTATTTTCTTTCTCACACATTATACCTTAAACCTTTGGTTGGAGTTTGACATTGCCATAACAGTTGACATTTGGCAAATTTTTTAAGACAAATGAGAGCAAAAATGGAACTCTAGGAAAATACATCATTTTTTATCACTGTGGAGTTCCAACTTTACCTGATTCCACCAAAAAAATAACTGTAGTTGAGAATTGGGGCAGTAGTGAAACTCAAATTCAATAATTGAAGGTATAATATGAAAAAAGATATAATTTATATCTTTAAAATGCAATACAACAAAAGGTGTAATATATATATACTAGTTATTGTCTGAGACTGGAGATATAGAGTAATAAAAAATATTGTTAATCATAAATATATTTGTACTCACACTTAAAATCAAATCACAAATGTCGAGGAGAGAGATATAAATTTTAGCACTGGTTGTAGAGGGTGAGCGTTGATAGTGATAGTTGTGGTGGACGACGACGACTGTGGTGGTGGTGGCAATAATGATAGTGGTGGTTAGTTTTGGATGACGACGGTGGTAGTGACAGTCATGAGTGACGACAATAGTGGTGGTGGGTGACGATAATAGTGATTGGTAATGGTGCTAGTGGGGCGACGACGACAGTGGTGGTGGGGACAACAATGATGGTGATGGGTGGTGGCGGTGGGCGACAATGGTAGTAATAATAATAAATATAAGAATAAGATAATGATAGCGGTGGGCGGTGGGTGGTGGGTGGTAAGGGTAAACGACGGTGGTAACAATCAGTGGTGGGTGACGATGACAACAATAGATTGGTGGGCCGGTGGAGGTAGTGAAGTGTTTTGTAGAGAAGAGATTTTAAAGAAGTGGAAGTTATTTTTTTTTTTTACTTTTAGTTACTTATTTAAGTGGTAAAACTATTTTTGAACTTAATTTAAAAGTAATTAAAATAAGTTGTTATAAACAATATTTTTTTTAAAAGTGTTTATCAGAGTCGTAAATCTCAGAAAACACTTTTGAAAAGTCAACCCAAAAGTTCTAAGATTTATTTTATCTATTAAATTTATGGAGTTAATATTAAATGTCGGATTAATTTTAAAATAAAATTTAAATTGATTTCAATTGTGAAAAACAAAATTATTTTATTTATTTTTTAGAATTTAAATTGTCATTCTTTATTGTATCTATATCTATACTATTAATAAAAAACACTCGAAGTGAAAAACTTTTATTTTTTTAATATACCCTTAAACAATTCAATAAAGTCATATTTGCTATTTTGTATGTCATTTTCCATTTTTCACTTTTGCTAACCATTGCAATTCCCTTGCTTGACTGCACTCATATGCTTTTTGGTATTCTGTCCCTAAATGTATTGTTAAGTTCAATCGGCTATCATAGACAAGAGTAGCGACGGTACCAAATAAACGTAGAAATATATGCACGAAAACGCTTTGTGAGTCAGGCAAAAATAGAGTCAAACCTGGAAAAGAAAACACATTCCTAAACAGATCAAAATCCTCAAAACACTTCTTCATCCTCACCATCTTCTTTCTTCTCAGCTACTTGTAAGAATGACTTCTTCATTCGATGAGGACTTCGATTTCATGAGAACATTGATGGCAATAGCTTTTTTTAGTAAGCTCTTAAAACCAAATGATTTCCTTGATATGTTATTTTATATGCCCAAGTTTTTCGCTATGCTGATCTCAATATTCCACTTATTTTACAGTATTTGCTGGTATGATGATTGCAAGTGCAATATTTATCGTAGTGCATCAAGTAATCAAATGCTTGCAGAAAGCAGGAATAGCCATTCCTGGATATGCCCCGATCAGTACCACGGATCAGGAATCTCTTCTGGGAGATATTGCAATTCCTCCTAGAAGCGACAGCGTTGTGGTGGCTATACCACCTGATTACCCAAGAGCTCGGGGCCCTCGGGTCACTTCCATGGAGAGACTTCTCAGCACAATTGCCAAAGAAAAACCCAAAAGGTTTTCACGTCGGCAACTTGAAGAATTCACTCAAAACTTCACCACTGAATTGGGTTCTGGTGCTTTTGGAGAAGTGTTTAAAGGAGAGTTCCCAGATGGAGTGCAAGTTGCTGTCAAAAAGCTTAATAACAACCCGGATAGCAAAATTGAAGAACAGTTCATGGCCGAAGTAAGTACCATTGGAAGAACTTATCATATGAATCTGGTTAGACTTTATGGATTCTGTTTTGATCCAACAATAAGAGCCCTAGTTTACGAGTTCATGGAAAAGGGTTCACTCGACAGATATTTGTTCAGTGACTCGGAAATTGAGTGGGGGAAGTTGCATAATATTGCAGTAGGAACAGCTAAAGGAATAGCATACTTACATGAGGATTGCGAACAGAGAATTATTCATTACGATATAAAGCCTGAAAATGTTCTTCTTGATCGAAACTTCAATGCTAAAGTTGCAGATTTCGGATTGGCGAAGCTTTGTAGTAGAGAAAGCAGTCATGTAATGATGACCGGCCTAAGAGGAACACGAGGATATGCCGCTCCTGAGCTGTGGAAACCATATCCTGTCACTCACAAGTGTGATGTATATAGCTATGGTATGCTCTTATTTGAGATTGTGGGGAGGAGGAGAAACTATTTAGCTAACTTAAGCGATACTCGAAAATGGCTTCCCAGATGGACATGGGAAATGATTGAGAATGATGATTTAGCAGAGATGCTGAAGCTCTGTGGTATTGATGAGAGAGACAGAGAGCAGGCAGAGAGAATGTCCATGGTGGCTCTTTGGTGTGTTCAGTACCAGCCAGAATTAAGACCAATGATGAGCACTGTGGTGAAGATGTTGGAAGGAGAAATGGAAATCACTCCACCTCCATATCCAAAATTTCAGTATTTGGAATCTTTTTTTGAACGAAATGGATCGGTCAGTGGAGGCAATGAAAGCTCAGATCCTTTACCATCAGCAACGAGAACTTCTGAACCATCCAGTTCCAACCATGTGGGCTAGTGGCAGCTCAATTTTTTCAAGTAGTATGTTGTTTTGTTTGTTTATATCATGCACCTAATATCTCATAGCTTCCCATGTGATGGTTTGGCTCGAGAGGTTGTTTGGAAAATCTTATGAATATAACTGGTCACGACACCACAAGTATTGTCCTGCATTGCAATGGATAGATATTAAACATAAGCATTGATTAATGTAACATGCAGAGAAGATTAAGGCTGCTAAATATAGATTCTGTTTTCTTCTTGTTGTGGAATAATACATAAACTCAGAATGTTAGTATGATAAGAATTTTTATGATGAATGACTAGCCAAATATAGCATATCTGTGAACGAGGCAGGAACTGTTGCATAAAACAAAATGAAATTTAATCTTTCCGGTGGAGAAGACAATGAACAAATCCCAATGATTAAATATGAATGATGGATAGTCTAAAACAAGAATGTTAAAACATTTTTTGGGGTTCAAAGAATTATGGCTACACAAACCTTCATTGGGTTTGCATTTCAAATTCATTCCATGGAACCAGGACCCATGTGTTGGGAGTTGGAAGCAAAATAGATCACCAAAGAACACAAAAACAGAGGACAAAAAATCTGCTCCACTACCACACTAATTTCACTCAAGAAACACCTTTATATTTCATCAAAAATGATCACAATATCAAGGAATACAAGGGGAAGCTAATCTGAATTTTTTTCCAGCAAGAACAACTCACAAAATAAGCTATCAGCCAGAGCTTCTGCTCTCGAACAGGCTGCTGTTTTTTCTGGCAGCAATACACTGTTTTTTTACTCTCTTTTTTCTGTTTTTTTCTGCACAGAAACACTCTACTTTTTGGGCAGCAACTCCACTCCTTTTATACTGATTTTTCTTAGCCAAAAACACCTTGAATTGGCCACTTCATGGCCGGCTGTCCCCAAGAAAAAAAACTGTTCGAATTCCCATGTACCCATGCATGAACAAGCCTCCCAAGAACATGAATAGACCTCCCAAAATATTCTGGACACTTCTAGTGACCATCTCTTCAAACACCATGACTTATCATAAACCAAAAAATACAAAAACTACCTTTTAAAAATTGAGTTTTTAAAAACTAACATCCCCCCTTAAACTCAATTCCTTAGGTTCTCATACCTAGCATCATTTTCAATCTTCCAAACACATCATGCTTTAATGGCTTTGTAAAAATGTCGGCAACTTGATCTTGAGTCTTGCAATGCACCAACTTCACTTCTCTATTCTTCACATGCTCTCTAATAAAATGGTAGCGCGTATCAATGTGTTTACTCCTCTAATGGAACACCGGGTTCTTTGCCAATGCCATCGCCGATCTATTATCAACAAGTCTTAACAGGAGTATTTGGCTCATTATCAGAGCTTGCCGCCTCGATTGTTTGGCTATTTGAATAGAGTTTTTTTCTAAAGGTCAATGGCATCAGAAATTGGCATGCCATTTATTTTTCCCATGCCATGTTCCTCATCCAACATAGACACTGAATCTCCTCGGGGTCCTCCATGACCTCTGCTAGTTTTGTTGGTGGCATCATCATACAAATTGGAAGAAACATTTTGGTCGGCATTGTTGCAGTAAGAAGGATAGCTGTTATCTATCTTCCCATTCTCATTACTGTAGGGCTTGCCAATGTTAGTTTCTTCTTCCAATGAAGAAGGATTATACAAACTACTAAAATTGGTAGTCGGACTTTGACTTCTCTCGTCTACCAAACACTTTGGGTTGGGATAGGGAAATATGTAAGGCGTCTGCACGCAGTTGGGGGACTCCTTGGTGAGGGACGCCTTGGCACTACATGGGGGCGCCCTGACGTCAGGTGCCACGACGGGGGGCGCCTTGGTGCCCATAGTGGAGAGGTTATGGCACCTCTCCAATTGGAAGGAGTATTGCTCCCATAGGTTAAGGGGCAGCACCCCCTAAGTCGAGTATCGGCTGGATGATTTGCTGGTTCTAGCTTACCAACAACTGCATAGTCTCCAAAAGCTGTTGACCGACCACGGGAGTTACCGCAGTGGACGGTTCAGCTAATGCCGACGGAGGTGGGGGTGGAGCCTCCTCCCGGCAAGTTGTATTGTTATCCTCCGCTTGTTGATTCATCAACCTAGTTGTGATTGCCATGGATTTGAAAAAGAATAGCAAGGTAGTAGAAAACTCAGTCGTTTCCCACAGACGGCAACAAATTGATGATGCACAAAATAGGCTTATGCAAAATCAACAGTCGAGTGTGCGATATAGTGTAATTAATGAGATAGTTAATCAAGCAATCAATGATAAAAAGGTAAGTATCGGGTCACCACACAAATATATAGTGGTTCGGTCCGGGTGACCTACTTCACTTCAAAAAACGGCAATAGTGGCCAAAGAACTTTTATTAATAAAGTGAGAGAGAGAGAGAGAGAGAGAGAGAGAGAGAGAGACCAGAGGTTAGCTCCGAGAGAGGTACAATAACTAGGAGAGAGAAAAGCTATGTGAGGAGTGTGTAGAGAGGGGTAGAGATCTCAAGAAGTGTCCTATCTTGTGGAGAGGACTTATAATTTTTAGGCATTGAGCCTTAGTTGAGGCGTGACGTGAGGGTAAAGACACTAGTTTCTCGAGGAGGATAGTTACAAAAGGTAAGTACAACTAAGATAGTCTTGATTTTCGAGAATTTGTATTCCAATGATTACTCCTCATGTGTTCTAATCTTCTTGAACTCCTTGAGCCTTGGACTGAGTTGAATTCTCGAACTGGGTTTGACTTGTTTTGTGGCTAATTTTGGCTCCATTGATTGGTTGGGTCAGACCCAGTAGAAATTGGTCTTGTCAATTTCTTCTTTTATGGCGGTGATATTTGTTGGGATAATATAGTTTATTCAATATTAAGTGCTTTTCTTCCGTTCTCTGTTATGGAATTTGTCCGTTAATTCAATGATATGACTTTCTTTTTCAAATAGTTGTTTGGTTATTTCGATATTGTATTTCAATTCTATTAAGGCAATTAGTGGTTGACTGCACTTAACTGAGTGCAGACATTTTCCCCAATGCTTTATTTTTTTTTTCTTTCTACGAGCAACAAAATGGGACTTTATTTTTTGGTTTTTTGAGTTCATATTTTTGAGTCATTGCTCATGTTGAAAATCCGTGTTTTATTTTTATTTATTGACAAACAATGTTGGATTACAGTGTATAAATTGTTTGAATTTGAGAGAATTTGTTGTTGGTAAAAAACCAAGGTTTACGTACATCATCTTCAAATGTTCACCCAAGTCTCAGAGTTTACATCACATTTGTTAGTGATTTTTGGTTCATCCAAAGAAGGCCTACCACAAGTTGCCATCACGAACAGTCTTATTAAAAATGGTGATATTCAAAATGTAGTTTTACGTATCGATAATTTAATATTAGACTATTTAATTCTATGTTTATGTCTGTGCCTTTGGTATTTTTCATTTTATCGGAATTCGGATGAGATTTATGCGATTGTGGTTTGGAGTTTTGGTGGGATTGTTTTCTTTACTTTATTTCTTTTTGGTGGAGTCATATGTAAAACAATTTTGAATTCAAGAGATAAAAAATAGTTCAGATCGTTTCATGACTAAAAAAGGCATCCAACGAACGACACTATCCTAAACTGTCTTGAGCTATTGATGTCTCAAATTGTTTCGATCTGACGTACCATATTTGCTCTTAAAATATTTTTTCCACTCAAAATTTTTAGTTTCCAAAATTAACCAAATTCCTCCAATTCTTTCCCTAAATGGTCTTCTTGTCATAATTTTGTTTAATCGCCTATTTCATGCCTTATTTTGTTTAAAAATTTTAATTGTTCAACTCGAACGCCCTCAATCACGCCAAAATCTCCTCTCAGGGAAATTTTTACCTGACATCCCTTCTCCAAACCAAGGATATCCCCTCTCAAGGAAATCTCTCTCTCAAGCCCAGTCTCAGTCACGTCTTCAGCGGTCACACCTTCAATAGCTCATTATTCAAAAAAAATTAGGAGATAGTCCTTGAGATTTATTCTATATATCTCAACCTCTACGTGAACTCATAATTCGACTAATGAAGCATAATATAATGTGATGATAGTTCTGATTCGACTGGTGGGTTGAATTGTTACTATGAAGTATGGTAAATTTACTATTGATATGATATGTATGATCTTCTTTTTTTTTTTTGGTCTAGGATATGATATATATGATCAATTGCCTCGAATCTTAGTTTTCTCTCTAATATCTTTGTTGGAACAACAACATTTGACTTACAAAGGTTGGATCTTAAAGGATGATCAAACCCTTCAAATAGTAATGTACATGATGAACTCGTCTCTTTCTCTTTCTCTTACTCTCTTTTTGTGTATGTTTTTGGTGCACTTCATGGGCGGAGATTATGGTTAAAAAAAAAAAACTTCATTTTCTTAAAGAAGTCTTATTTTGGTGGGTTTGTTGCTACCTATGAAGCACGGATACTTCGTTGAAGTTGACGTACCCATATCCGATACTGTATCGAATATAATACTCGTCGGATATTCGAAGATACGTATCGGATACACTTTCTACGTATCCAATAATAATTAAATATTATGATACTTCACGGATACTTTTATGGTCGAGCAACATATATAATATTTGAGTTAAACTTTTAACATCTCTTTTCGAATTCACATATCATATAATATATTAACAAAAAAAATCATATTACTTCAAAAGCACATGAGTGTTTCTTAAGTATTATCTACAATTACATATCAAAAGAGTATAAAATAAAGTTATTATATTATTATCTTAGCAAAAATTACTTCTAAATATTAGGTAAGTATTAGTTTTGATTCCTTTAATTAGTCACTTCACTTTGTGAATATACTACAGCGATACGATAGATATTTTCGTGAAACTAAAAAAAATTACTAATTTTTCTTATTGTATATTAAAGAACTACCAAAATATATAAGTATTAATCTGGTTGAAAATAATAAAAATATTAAATATATTTTATTATAGCCGTATCTGGACCGTACTCATATCCTAATTTTTTAGACTTTGTCGTATCACCATATCCGTATCGTATCATATCTATATCCCGTATTCGTATCCATGCTTCATGGGTTTCTACAATGGTTTTCATGTGCTGAACAATATTATGACACAATTAAAAAAAAATGATTTGAACCAAAAAAATATTTTTAAGATGGCAGTAGCATCTTTTTGAAGAAATTGGACTTTCGATTTCACT